TTCATCTTCTCCATCATCCTCTTCTTGCTGTCTAAGTTTATCAAAAATAACCTCAACATCAATCAGTAGTTTCATTGATTTTGCTTGTTGTAAAAACTCTGTTAGTTTCTTTTCTTGCCATAAAAGATATGTTAATCCTTTGTATCCCTTGAATGTTATGTTAGATATTGAATATGTGTTGGCGTACCCTTTCAATGCTGAAAATGTCTCTGATGTTTTTGCTCCTATTTTTAATCTGTATTTCTGGATTGTTTTAATGCCTCTCATTGTGTTTGATGCTTTTTTTAGAAGATGAAATCGTTTGAAACCTTGTGTGTTGCTGACTTGATTGAGTTTGTTTTGAAGTGATGAGGATAATGGTTTGTCTTTGTTGTAATAGTATTCTTTGTTGTTGATGATTAGTTTTTTCAATGGTTTGTTATTCTTCCCTGTTTTTATGGTTGCTTCATTATTGGATAACAAATAGTCAATTACTGAACCCGAACTGTATTCCCCTGCCATTTCTCTATACTATATAAGGTATTTTCTCTTTAAGTAGTTTTGTTTATGTTTGGTGGTTATGGGATTGGGGTTGGGTTCAACATTGAAAAACAAATGGGTTTGGGGATGAGTTTGAAACTGTCGTTGAATATGTATCTCACCAAAGTGCCAGTTTCAATACAACATCTGAAACTGGAACTTTGATGTATATATTATATATACCCCTAAAATATTTAGGTGGTCAGTCCCCCAAAATTAATATTTAGGTGGGCATCCCCAAACAAATATTTAGGTGGGCATCCCGAAAAGTTTAGGTGGGAAAACCCATATATTTAGGTGGGCATCCCCTAACAAATATTTAGGTGGGCATCCCGAAAAGTTTAGGTGGGAAAACCCAAAATATATTTTAGGTGGTTCGCCCGAAAAAAAAAAAAAAAAAAGCAGTCAGGGGGAAGCCGCCGACACCTTGAAAAGGACAGTCTTGTAGATGGTGAAGTGGATGTCTTCTCGGCCTCAGAGTGACGCGGATGCAGAAAACAAAACACCACACAATGAACAAGTCAGGTTAGAGTCAAATGCCACTGCGTCAATTCTCATTGCATCAGAGCTCTTTTCAACCCCACTCCAGGCATCTCTGGAAAACAACGCACTGGTTGTACCCCTGCGCGATGCTGGTTTCAGCATCTTTTGATTTAACCAATGTGATTTAAAGGCGTCTTGGAATGGATGCGATTACAGCATAGGACTGATGCCTTTACAGCATAGGGGTATGCGATAACAGCATTGTTTGGAATTGTTAAGGGAAAAACCTGATGCGATTACAGCATAGGGGTATGTGATAACAGCGTAGGGGTATGCGATGACAGCATCCCAAAAATGAAAGGATTTGCTACATAAATGCGATTACAGCATAGGGGTATGCGATAACAGCATTGTTTGAAAGCGTGCAACAGTCCATTGATGTGACAGCACCATCCCTAAATATTTCTCCCTATGCGATTTCCGCATCGGGGTTAAAAGGTCAAAATCTACCCTGCCTCCATTGGACTTGGTCCTTCATTTCGGTCTTTGCGGATTTTGAGCTCTACATCTAAAAGACTCACAACACCTGCGGTTGAATGGTCGCACTCATCCTCATCCAGTGCCATCACAACGGCATCATTGGTCAGCTCCATCGACTTGTTAATCGCCTCATTCAGGTAGTTCCTGACTTTGATGAGCTGTTTTATGCCATCCGTGTGCTCGGCTAATCTCTCAATTTTGCAAGCAACGTTGCCCTTGTCATGCTTCATGTAGTGCTTCATTGCGTGGATTTGCTCATCGGAGCACTTCTTGATGAAGCCTGAAAATTTGAGGTTTTTGGCATTGTGGATGTCCTTTGCAACCTTGATGGCAGAGGAAAAGATATCGTCATTCTGAATGATGGTTGCCGGCTCGTTCTTCAATTTCAATATGTGCTTTTTGGTGCTGTTCACCGCTTTGCGTGGCATTGCTTGGAGGGAAGGTCCAAGTCTTACTATGGATCGTGGGTAAAAAGCAACAAAAATGCCTGCGGATGGATAGACAAATCTCAACCAAGTCAAGTGGTTCTCTGAAATCAAAGGCACAAATGTAAATGTTTCAACAATTGAAGCACACATCAAGCACATTTTTTTAGACAAATCACGCTCCAAGCAGGTATATGCAACCTTCGACAATGATGGTGTCTTCTCAAACTCTTCTATGAAACGGCTGGGAAGTGTTTAAATCAACATCTGTTTGAAGAGGTGTTCAAATGAGAAGTGCCATCTGCCTGTACACTCCATCAAACATGTTTGATGAAATCACTGTTCATCTTGGTTGATGATCATGTCATCATCACCCTCCTCCTCCTCCTCCTCCTCCTCATTGCACTCGCTGTTCTCCTCATCGTTGCCGATGTTCACGGTCAGGGCGTCTGCCTCACTGAGTGTCTTTGGAGGTTCTGAAGTCCCGTAGTTGAAGACCAACTCATCGCCATCAACCACTCCAAGTGTGTTCATCTTCCGAAGACCACACTTGAAAGGTCCGAAGTTGTAGATTTCATTGCCCTGCTTCTTGATGCTGACGCGGACAGACTTGCCATGCGCCACCTTCCTGTTCAACTGTCGAAGGATGGCATCTTTGAGAGCGCCCGTAGTTTTCCCCTTCTGAATTGTGACCTTCACTGTTGCGCCTGTGTTGCCATCATCAATGACACAGTTGGTCTTGACAGTCACCGTGATTTCTGACGCCCTGTCCTCAGCGCCCTTCATCTTGCGGTTCTGTGCTGATGCCTTTGCCTTTGCTTTGCGCTGTGCCTCGCGAAGTGGACCATTCTTCTCCGTGTAAATCTTCTTCATCTCTGCCTTCTCAAACTTCAAAGCGGCCAACTGCTTTTCAAGGTCCTTAATCTCTTTGTCCTTCTTATCGATGCCCTCAACCAACTGGTTCAGCGACATCTCCTCAGGAGTGAGCTGCTGTGTCAACTCCACCACCAGCGGGTCTTGATTGCTCCCACAGGCAGTGTTGGTATCAGCAACCACCTTCTTCTCTTCAATCTTCTTTGGCGCCATCACGATTGAAGTGAGACAGCAAATGACAACTACACAGCAAAAGGCTCTGAGATGTAAAATGCTCCGATAACATAATGTGGTTCATCATCTTCACAAGGTTTTCTCACTCCCTCTCTTTCCCAGATTGCTGAGTGTCCCGACGGTTCATTTGTGTAGCGCTCGATGTCGTAGCCGGTGCGAGGCCGACGGGAAACCCCAAACAAAACCACAACAACTCCCATAACATAGACCTTGAAAATGTCAATATCTTAGACTGTTATTAAATGAAAAAAATGTAAACAATTGTTGAGAAAATTTAGGAAAATTCCCCACAATCCCCCTTGGTGTTTTGAACAAAATGGTTTGCTTGTTTAAAAGTAGTGTTGAACCCTGAAACCCTGAACTGAAAATACCCTACCCTACACGCCCCCTATTAACCATTTTTTTTTGGGGGGGGAAGTAGCCCTAGAGTCCAAAAACCTGGTTGTTTGAGGTATGGAGTCAAAGGCCTAGGCTCCTGGGGAACAGTTTATTGTTTCGTGTGTGTGTGTGTTTCTTTGTTTGGAGGGGGGGTCCCAGCTTGAATGTGTGGCTGATTGGATCACTTGGAAGGTTCATTCTCTTATTACAGAAAGTATCCTTAAAGAATCCGTTTCCCCACAGCCATGTTTGGTATGTTGCAAAATAGGGGGTCTCAACAGATGTGGGTTTCCTTTCCATTCCCCTTTGACAACCAACCACCTCAACAAAGCGTTGACTTGGAGCCGGTATATTGTTTTAAAGGGAACCCACGAGGAACCGAGGCCAATCCCCGCAAGGGATCATCTCATCTTGGGGAAATGAGATTGAAGCCTGCAGGTCCGTCAGCAATGTTCCCATTCAACTTAAACCATGGTCGAAGCCTATCTGCCAGACGCGATGTTCAATCATTATCCAACTTGAATGTTGATTTAGATCGATGTGAAGATCGAAATGCGGACAAGTGGTTCTACAAAATGTGACCAGTTGGCAGTCCACAGCCTCGCACATGAGCGTGGCGTTTGTGTTTGCGCTTTGAGAAGATGTGTTCTCTTAGGCTATTTGTAGCGAGCTCGCCCGGTAAAACGAGCTGATTTTAGGACAATGGTTCCTTGGGGAGAGTCCTTGCTTCAGGTTTTCGAATCACAGAGAATGCAGTGAACTCAGTGCCTCAAGGCCCTAATTCTTCAAGCTGGATTCAATTCAGAGAGCCTGGATGCCCCGCCCTCCGCCCCGCAGTTCTCCCCTTCTTGTTCAAATCCTTGGGTCGCACTAAAAGTCTTGGCGTGTCCAGTAAATAAGCAAATGCGTGCTTCTTATGAGGAGACACCCTTTGTTGGGTTGTGGTCAAGGGAAACTCAACGCAAACAACCCTTTGTTGGGGTTCCCCTCTTTTCAGACCCCCCCTTCCCGTGCTGTTTTGGGATGATTTGTTTTCCTTGTTTGAAGCTATCTTTTGCGACCTGTTTGGGTGTTCTTCCCCCTTGGTCCTGGTGGAGAAAGACCTGATGTCATGAAGGTCTCTTGGGGGTCTCTTATTTCAGTTCGCTAGCCGGTGAATTGCTGCAATTCGCATCTGGCCCGATTCGTCTCGGCCAGAAAGCAATTCCAGTTGTGTGCAAAAAGTGCAGTATACGGCTGTGGGTCAAAACCAATGGGACCATTTTGGTGTAGGTGAATTCACCTCCCATGTTAGAACCTATTTTTGTGGTTGGATTGGGATGTTCACTGGGCGTGCGATTTGGCTTTTGACCCGTGACCATATAAGGTTTCAGCATGAAGGTTCCGGAGCCTTGGGCCTTTCGACCTCATAGCTTTCAGCTGTTCACCAGGCACAACTTCTGGGGCCCCCATTTCAGCTGGGAAGACAAAGGGAAAAGACACGTCCTTGGGTTGGAGAAGCCAGAGGGAGCTGGTTCTGGTGCGTTTTTTTTGGTTTCCTTCTCGCAGGGCATGTACATCGTGGCGAATGGCTCCTGCGAGTACTTCTCGAGGTCCTTCCTGCCGCAGATGCAGCCGCCATTGCCATCCTTGCACAGCTTGAAGCGCGTCGCCGGAAGCTGCTCGCCATCCAAATTCGGAGCAAAGAGGCCAAGGACCTGTTTTAGGAGTGGGGGAAACATCGCCATCATCTCCTAAAAGAGCTCGGAAGAGCGGACCTGTTTAGCTTGAAGTGGGGGAGAGAGGTATTAGTCATGTATCCTGAATCCTCCTTTTGAAGAGTCGAGGAGCAGGTGGTAGTTATGTTCGCGTCTTTCGCCTTGAGTTGGCGAGGAACATAAGGGGCCATCCTATTTACCTACAAAGGCCAGGGCAACGCAATCTTCCAAGTCCGAGCAAGAATATCAAGATTCCACTATAGTTCCACTTAAGTTGCTTTTGCATATTTTTGAAGTGAGCTTCATGTACGAAGCATAAAGAGCCCAGTGATTTCGCCGAGGTTGTTGGCAGCACTACAAAAAGCTCTTTTGCTGCGAAGGCAGGGGCTGGCCGGACTCAGAGCGACGCCTCGCATGCCTTTTTGTTTCTTTTGGGTTCCTCAACGGACAATTGTTCGGCCACCTGTGAAGGCCCTTGCTTTTGTGGTTGTAAGGTTCCCCAAGTTTTCCCATTTCGCGCGGCGAGCACGTCCTTTTGTTCCGAGCGGGTCGATCCGTCTGGGCCACGCAGGAGTGAGGCCGAGCCCAGTTCCCGTCCGTACGATGGGACCCAGGGGAGTCCAATTGAAAAGGATTCGTTGGGGTTGGTTCCCATGCTTGTCAACCATCCTTCTTTTCGAAAGCCGGATCCGTTTTCCCCGGGCTGGTTTTCTAGAATCCGGATCCCTGGAAAGAATGGAAATGGGAGGCGCCCCAGGAGTTGTGCTGTTTTGCCCGAATGATCTTTGGTCAACCTGTCCCGTGGTCAAATTGGTAGGGACGTTCAGCCGGATTGATTTGAACGTCAGTCAGGCTTTCAGTGCATTTGTGGACGGCCAAAGTGCAGGTCAGAGCAAGTCAGTCGACCCGCAGCCTGGTCGCATCAGTCCTTGACGCGAGTTCCGGGCCCTCTTGTTCTTTTTGAGGATACCCTATTTGGAAGGTCAAGGAAAATCAAATAGGAACCATATCCATGGTTGCATCCTACTTAAGACGACGATAGAACAAGTATTCTTTGTCCAACGGCTGACCAGCAAGTTGCTTTTCCTTTATTCCTATAAGCCCCAATTGCCAGAAGTTTGGCCCAGCGATGTTCAGCGAAGCAGACTCTCAAGCGTCGAGTTTCAGGCGGGCAAGGGCTGCGCAATGACTCTGTGGGAGTCTCCCTTGAAACCCTCAAGAAAAGAGGCCTTTTGTCCCTTCAAGATCTGGGATGTCGATTCATTGCTTAGTTTTCCGGGCGCTTACCTCTACAGGCTGTGTCCAGATCTGACACGTAATATGTCGATTTGTTGAAATGCAATCAACACTTGATCCGGCTTGTTTGTCGCTATTCCCATGTCCCAAATCTCCTCCAGAATTGCCTGTTTGGGGCTCATATTGATCAGGGGTGTTGTCCCTTCCCATGAATGGTGGACGGAAGCCAACGCTTCATTTTGATGGCTGCTGCCTTCAGAAACCATCAACTGCCTTGCGGACATATCTGAGCTTAGAAGGAGCTTGACATGAGTCACTTGCAACTCTTGAAACAACAGCTACGGCTCTCGAGCAACATCCGTGTTTCACATGTCAAAAAAACGCGCGCTTCACGTGCCTAAAACGAGTCTCCGCAATCTCCAAGAATTCCACGAAAGCTCGCCGAGACTATCTAGCACTGGACTCGGGCGAGCCCCGCCGCGAAAAAAAAAACTTCGGCCCAGGGAAGGCTTGCAGTCCACCATGGTGGGCGCTGGAGAGTACATCAGCGAGCAGGCCATATGGATCCAGAAATGGAAGCATCCAGGCGGGGGGTTGGCCGACTACGGCTTGAAGCCACTTTCACTTTTGGGCCTTGCCTGGGTCAAGATGTCGGCCAGGATCTACTCACTGAGAAAAGAGGTGAAAAGACCTTGGACCCCTAATTTAAGTTTCCTCTTCCACACAACTCATTGCAGGCAAGCCTTGTATCTCTGGGGGCAACTGAGTATATATTTGAATACGGTATGCTTGCGGCGCATACACCCACATCACTGGGCCCACACCGAAGTTTAAACCCACACAAATACGTAAACACACACACACACAGGTGCGCGCGCGCGTGCGCAAGGTATGAACGAACAAAGCAGCACACTGCCCGCTTCCATGCCTTGCACGCGCACCTGCTTGGAGAACTCGGCAGAACCCGCACGGTACAGCCCTGGTGAGTTCAGTGAAATCCTCTTGCACGTGCACATTCATGCAGCATACATCCATAGGTTCATTTGTTTACCCATACATGTCGATATGCTGGGTTATATATGTGTCCATTCATATTGAGTACATGTATGCAGGTGAGCAGGCAGATTAGACAGACAAATGTGCGCCTGCAAGTTCTGAAACACGGTATCTGACAGCGAAAAACTGTTGCTGGAACTTAGCCAGTTCATACCCTCGAACCTTCGGATGCCCAAAGAGGGTCCCATCCTCACGGTTCCAATCCCGAAACAAGTGTTATCGGAAGGCAACCATGACTTTGCGCTGGTAGCACATGCAAAGTTGGCCAAGTTAACTCAAAGTCTGTTAGGGCCACTAAACAATCACAGTCCCGACCCACACAAGCAGCTTTCATGCGGCAATGCAGCAACAAAAGGGAACGCTCTTCTGAAGGCCAGAGAGACAAGCAATGCGCAAGTCCTTGTATGAGTTGTTATTGGCTGTTTATGACCATTGCAAGTGCCATTCGGAGCGCATGCTTATGCTTTAGAAGGCGTATTTGCTTTTTGTCAGGCCGATTGTGTTCAGGAGTTGTGTGTGTGTGTGCGCACGCACTGCGCCAGGAAATCATGCAAATTATGCTGATTATATTGTATCATCATTCGCTCAATTGCTGCCAGAGTGGAGTGTTGCGACTGTCCCCTTTTACGGGTGGTTTTAGTCTTCTTGGGGCAGGGCCCGCAAGGCCAACCAGTCAGGCGCACATGTCCCTCAACGAAGCTTTTAGGCAGGCTGTGCCTCAGGACGACTTGAGGCATCGACAGACACCATAATTTTGCTGCTGCAGACCGAGAAGATGAACAGCGTGTTGCTGCTTGGCATGGGATCCGGGATGGTCAGTGGCGTTCGATGGTTCATATTCTATTTGGGTATCTCTTTGTTAAAACCCCAACATGGATTTCAGTGTTCCTTTGGCGCTGAAAAACCACGCAAAGGAGTACCCTCAAAAACAAGGAACCAGCGGCCTGCAATACTCGCCTTTCATGATACCTGCTGCCTTTTCTTTGCCGGACCCCCCACATCTCTCGAATGCTCGAACACCCGCGCCCCCGGTATGAGCAAGCCAACCCAAGACCCAACCAGCCGCAAGCAAACCACTCCAGAGGCCGCTCCGAGGGGACATGGTGGCGGAGGCTGAACCACAACATATATGGATTCGCAACAAGGGTTGGTAAAAAGGACCAATGCCACTATTCTCAAGTCTCAGTGTGCTCAAAGCAGCTGTGTAGTTTAGGCGTTGCCTGTTTTCCTCATTTGTGTTGGGTTGCCTTTTTGGGTTGCGCGGGGTTGCCTAGAGCTGCACAACTTTCTTTGCGTCCGCATGTCAGAGAGGCAGCTAAGGCAAGACTACCCGAGAATTCTGGCCGAGACCGCCCGGTGCTGAGCCTGTTTGCCCGCAAGGGTCGGCTGGGGACGGCGACACTTCCACTTGGTCCGCCAGCTAGGTGCCAACTTTTACCAACTGTTTTGGTTGGGAGGGTTCCCCTACTAAAATGAATGACAGGAAAAGGGGTACCCTTATTCTAACCTCTCTACTGGAAAACCTAGTCCATGTCTGGCAAAAAGCCATGTATGGCGCGTCCAGAGCTTTGTGGACAATCTCGGGTAGTCATATTCCAACGGGGGAGTTCTGAGTCTTGGCCGCAAATATAGGAATGGAGTGTGAAATGAAGCTCTGACACAGCTGGTCGTTCTCCTGTCACATGCAGACTCAAACAATATTTGAGCAGACAAGGCCAGTGTGACAGGGGTCCCTCTCCGCCTTTCCGGCCAACTTGAAGTCAGTTTCATTGGATTCTTTTATTGGGTAACTTTAAGAGGTGGGGGGTCTCACAAATGCTTGGTGTCCTGAACAACAAATTTTGATACCCTCCCCCAGACTAACATGGAAGCTCCCAGGACCCCTTTGGAAGACTTGGTTCCATTTACAGAGGCCTTCTGGGAGCTTGGAGCTTCCATGTTAGGAGGAAGTGTATCCCTTCCAGGTCCAAAGTTTCTGGGAAGCTTGCAACTCTCAGGTTGCCTATGCGCGAGTCTTTCTGGAGGCCGCCAATAGGGTGGCGGTGTATCCAGGCGCGCCGCGCGCTGGGGGGGAGTTCGGGGGAGACTGCCACTTGCGGCCGATGCCATTTGTCCAAATGCGCTCCAAACCAAAACGATTTTAGCATATAATTTTAGGGTAGACCTGGTAGACTAAGTATGGAACAGACCATTTTTTGAGGATTTGAGGAGAACCTCAAGCCAAGCTGGCGTGTCTTTGGGTTGCCCTTTAAAACCTCGAACAACAGGTGCCCTCAAAAACGGCACAGGCGAACGGTTGGTGTTCGGCTGGTTTCTCTAAAAGCTCCGGCTCAGGCCTCACGGATCTTCCCATCACGAATGAGGAAGGAACGGATCCGACCGTGTCCGTCAGCGTGCTCTTTGCCACACAGGGATCCAAGCACCTCGAAAGATTTTGGCAATTCCCATAGGTGTCCTTGATTGTTTTGGTAGAACATAGATGGCGATTCCTGCCATAAACCAGGGCCATCTATTCTCCTACAAAAGGACACCTATGGCGAAACCTGTTTTCAACTCTTCTGGGCATGTTTTTTGTTGTTTGCTCTTTTGGTTGTTTCTGCTTGGCGGGAAACCGCTGCGCTTTGCGAGACACTTTCGCTGTCCCGGATCTTGCTATGTAAGACCCTGAGTTGGCTTGCTAGGAACTAGACGCTGCGCTGCAGAATGGCACGGCGGCATGGAGCGATTTCCACCAACTCTGGTTCAGCAAGTGCCCAGTATGTGGCATTTGCACGGCGGTCCGCGTGCTCGGACTGGACTATGATTTTGGCAGGCTGAATCATCCCAAGTCGTGCCTGTGCACCTCTCCTTTTTTTTGCGTGGCTCGTCCACAGAGCCAGACTTGCCAATTCTGGCAGGGCAGAGCTTAGTTAGTCAGATTGCCATGTCAAGCATGGACGGTTGCAATGCTGAGATTTGGCTGTGCGGGAATCCCACGGTAGTGTGGTTTGGTCCATGCGCACGCATAGCTAGTCTCGAGCTGAGACGTTTAGTGCTATTGCTGGGTCCCGTAAAACGGTTGCATTTGAAGGAGTTCTCAAAACGTATGTTGGTTTGTTCGTTTTCCCAAGAACACTGCCATCAGGGTCATGTTCATTGCAGATGGCATCATGTTAGAACCCAGCATGGGATCGTCAACCTTCAACTTCTTGGAAGATTCATTTTCCCACAAACCTGCCAAAAGTAGCATTTGAGTCCGCTTGTGCGGATTTGGCCATACACGAGATTGCGGCTTCACGGGTCAATCCGACACGTTGGATGACGCCTTTGGCAGTGGGTTGCCAGTTGGGTTCTGTTTGGAACGGCGTGATATGGAGGTTTGCCATGGCCGGCTCCTTGGCAGCTGAAGATGTGTTGGTCGGCAAGGTTTGACGCGCGGCATCTGTTTGATGTGACCTTCGTCGTGCGCTTTGTTGAGCTTTTGGACCCAGAGCCGCTTGCATTGGAGTGTTCCCAGCGCTGACTGCTGTGCCACTGGCAGGTGGTGTGGCGTTCGCATGCGGATTTGCCAGGGACAATCAAGCAGATCTAGCAATGGAACGCAGTACCAGGGTTGTAGGAGCAGTGGGCTGCAACCTAAAAGGGTCCGCTTGGTTGCTTTTTCACGCACATAGACAGGTTCTGTGCCGCGCGATGCAATCCTACGTGCCGGCACGTTGGGGCAAGGAGCAGTTGCGGTGACGTGGAATGATCATACAGAAATCCTTGTGGATCTGTGACGGGACAAACCCTGACGCGCGAGCCTGGCCGTGCACTTCGCAAAGCCCTTTCCTACTGCGCCGCATGCGTCAGCCCCTGCATTTATGAAGCAATTGCCCGGGTGAGACGGCAGCTTCTCATTTGGACTGGGTTGGCTAATTCAAAATTTGCGCGTCATATTATGATCATTGCTGAAAACTCCTCACACTTGCTGGCTAGCCCGCCAGCAAGAAAGCAAAGAGACGCACGAACTGATACAACCAACCAGACTGACTACAAATCTAATCGAAAACACAAAGGCAGCTTCGATCAAGCTAGCTGAGCCAAGCAAACAAAGAGTTTCTTCAAACAAGACACCTATCTACAGGCCACAGATGGCATTGCGTGCGCGCCGGCGCCTTTCCACTACTCAAGAGATCTCACAAGTGTTTTACAGATTGTCTGCCGTCAAGAGTTGAGTGTGTACAGCGAGCAAGTTTTTCCAACCCGACTCATACGTCACACATGTGAGCACGTCGATCAAGCGAGTTGGGCCCCAACTCCTTGATCGCCCGCTACTTCAGAACCTGCGGAAGGGTTTGGTTCCAGGTGGTAGCGATTGTGTTTTCTGGATTGGTGTCTCAACCCGCCAGACGGTCCGAACAAATGCGAAAGACCTCTTCAAATTCCTGGACGAAGGAAGAACTCAACAGGGAAACATGTGTGGGCTGCTTGGTGTTTTGAACCAACCAAAACAGATCAACGGATCCAACCGAGTGTGGCAACTCGTCGCTGAATTAGCACGCTTCACTCATGCTTGGTCAGAGCCGTTGCAAACCCCGGAACTCAGGTTCCTCCAGGTCTTTGTGCCCCCGGTGGCACCCTTGTCCGCTGGAATTTGCACGGGCTTCGCCGCACAAAGTGTGCCGAAGTGCAGACTTCCGGTCGGCTGCCATTTTCATCCGTGGATCGAATTGGAGAAATTGATCAACAGGCCTCAGCTGATTCTGAGGCTTCTCGCAACTCCTAGCCCAGCGGATGCAACTCCGAAAGGATTTTCAGCACGTGACCAGCGATCAAGATCTGCTAGTCCGGGCTGCAAGTTTAACTGGGGTCCACGGTTTGGCGATCCCCTACCTCTTAGGCACAACCCCCCCAGGTGCGGGTGGGACATGATCCTGCGCTCCACCCGGGTGTCCGGTGTTGAGCATGGAAACCCGGGGAATTTAATTTTTTCTGAGCGCGAACTGGCGGAGAGTCGCCATCCGTTTTGGCTTTTGCACGCATTTTGTCACACGTTGGGTGCTAAAGAAACCATCCGTTGCCCACAAGAAAGAAGACCGAAAGACAATCCGTGGTTTGCGGGATTCCCCAACCGCTGTTCAGCATCCAGATGGGCGGGCCCCTTGTTTGGGGCCCTTTGCCCCTTGACCCCTGTGGAGGTCAATGAGATTATATGTTCTCGTTGGCGACTCCGGGATGAAGAGGTCTACATGACCGCCGCAGCCATATTGCTGAAATGAGGGCTGGCCGCTGTGTCGCATGTCGCATGTTCCGCATTGCCTTACTTGTGCTTGAAGCCGGGCTGATCATTTGCATCCATTTGCTTAAGATTATGTTTTATTGAAATCGCTACGCGATCCGCCGACACCAGTGGGGTGCAAGGGATTTTCAAACCTTTTTTGTTTTTTCGTGGAAGTGATGCTGAGGATGCTGGAAATGCAAGAGATGCAACCACACAACGTACAGGAACAGACCCAATCTTCATCCAAAATGTCAAGACAAAATTGACCAAACACAGAAAATACCAGAGATGCCGGAAATGCTGGGAATGCAGCCGGCTGGCCACAAAAAGCTTTAGAAAATCAGGATTTGTATATTTCCAAAAATCAACCGTCAAAAGCAGATACTAGCAACCCCCTTCACATACCCTAAGAATAGACTTCCAAAAACACGAGAATGCAGGGGATGTTTCGCAGTAACTGCTCCGTACCGTTTGGGAATTGCAAAAACACGAAATTCAAACAGTTCCTCAACGTATCACTGCACTTGGCCCCACCCAGACCCCTAACAGGCCGATTCCAACATCGCTTAAAACAGCAAAACACCATTAGTATCTGCAAAAAACACAAATTCATGGCAGCAAGGTAATCCTGATGATGCTGGGGATGCAGATCCTGCGCGTCCGAGGGAAACCCCCCCCCCCCCCTAGGCGAAACGCAGATTTTTAGCACGCAAGCCCAAAAAACACTGGAAAATTTGCAGGGTTTTGGACACCCAGCACACCATGCCCAGGCAGCCCCAAAAGCCTTCGGCTTTGATAAGAGATCCAAAGGAAGACCAAGTTGCGGACTGCCATCTACACACTCGACTGGCGTCGGCGGATTTCCCCCTGTTGGTTTTTAGAGGGAACCTATCACTACTGGAAATATATTTGTCCAAGGGGCTTAAGCAAATGGAAGTTTGGAAAAAGAAACTGGCCAAAGCTTTGAAAGCTGCTGTGTCTCAATACCTCGCAGCCAGCTTGCTGAATGCCCCTGCTGACTTTCATCCAAACCCCTGCGGCCATGAGCGTCTACCCCTGACCCACGCATAGAAAATGTGACCTCCCGTAGGGGAAAAACGAACACAAAGACACCCGGACATGTTGGATTCTTTCCGGCTGGGTCGGCCCATTGTGAACAGCTTCGGGTACGAAAAGAAAAACAGTCCCAGAGCAGGCGAGAGGCGAAGGCTTTCCCGCGAATGGTGATTGAAACCTGTCAGCACCTTTGATCTGTGAATTGCCTTTTTTTGAAGTATAGCGCGTTCTTGTGGTTTGCTTGCTGTTAGGTTCGTTTGAGGATGGCTGCAACATGAGGATCTCAAAGTGCCGCATTTAAAAGAACTGAAGGCGATGGTTGGGGAAATGGAAAGGGGTAAGTTCTGGACGGCCCAGGTCAGAGACGGCGGAGAGCAAAATGCGCTGGCTGTCAACTTAGGGGCCCTTTCTGGCCCTATGGCACTATGGGTCCAAATGAGTATATGTTGGACCACCGAGGACTCGGTTCTGAGCATTTGGCATTCTCAGCTCACTTTTGGTCAAAGCAAAGCCAGGGGAATTCCGAGGCTGCCGCTTGGAGAGAAAAACCATATCATGGAAACACAATAGGAGCCAGCAACTCAGGGGTATTCCTCGGGACTAGGTTTCAGCAGCTGAGACAGACCAGAGATGCAACTCCTGTTATTTCAAGCATGTGAGTACGATCATACTGCGTAACTTGATTTCGCCGTTTTGGCCGTTTCGGCTGAGCCGTGAACAAGAAAAAACATTCTGTTTGTCCGAGATATTCTTTCGCCGCGCCCTCAGAATGAAACCGGCCAGTCCCATCGTCCCATCCCCTCTCCCTCTCAAATGTTTGTTGGTGTCCTGCAAAGGGTTCCAGCAAGCTCTCAGGCGAAATGGCGGCAGAGCGACCCACGCGTGCTGCCGCGGCCTCAGCCACGGCACCGAAGTGAAATGCCGCGCTTGCCGTGGCCAATTGGTTGGAAGGGGAAGGGGAGCGCGATCGGCCCCGATGGAAACTCCGCGAAACTTTGAAGGGCGCAGGGAAGAATTTCGCGCACAGCTACCCTATGATCCACTAACATGCAACCCACCAGACACTTGGTCTGGTTCCATGTTAGCGGACAGGAGGGGTATATGGCTGTGGGTCAAAAATACGTACCCAAAATGGAACCCTGGTAAATGGAAACATGGACCAAAACCTGCGGTTCTCTGGTGGTTTTGGTTTTGACCCAGACCCTTGTGTACCCCAAACGAGGCTTTGTTTGGTCGGGTCATTCAGAAAGCGGAATCGATCTATGTGTCCAAAAGGACACTGTGGATGGACGAAATCCATTTCGCACCACCTAAGAAACCTTGGAATGAGTCGATTCCCCTGCAAACACCAACAAACATGGGGTTCCTCTGGAAACAAAGCGTGGTGCGATTTCTGGATTTCGCAACCATCCACAGGTTTCTAGCAATTCTCACCTCCCGAGTTCCAGCTGCAGGAATCGGGAGACAAAGGATTCCATCAAGCTGTGCATGTTGCACAAGGATCACCTGGTCTTGGCTGTTGCTGAACACTGGCATACCCAAAGGGTATCCTGGTTGCTTCAAAAGCGGGATCAAATGCTGGTCTTTTGATGTTTATTTCGGCATACTACGTACTTTTACATTATTGTGAATTATTGTGAATTATACAATTATACCCTCTTTCTAACAGTCATAGAATTGGACTAGTTTTCCCCACCCGAGCGTCTCGTTCCATGATTGTTGGGACATGGATTGCAAAAGGATTATGATCAGTAGGTGTGCTTTTGAGGTCCCCTGGAATCCAACTTGTCCCAACCGACCAGCTGAGTTCGAGTCGTGGAGCCGAGGCACTGTGGGTGAGCCCTCAGCGCATTGCCATCTCAGGTGCGCGAGTGGCTGGTTGTTTGGTGGTCGAAAATTTTGAGCCCTGGTCCAGAAGGTCAATGGGAATCACCCTTAGCCTCCAAACCGCCAATCCAAACCACCAGATACAGCGAAGCAGAACATGTCTAAGCCCCTAAAGGGTTCCCGGATGTTTTGATCATAGTATGAAATTCAGCCAAAGTACACCACAGTCTATAGTCCATTTGGAACTAGTTGGAGCATTTGGATGCTGCAAATGGGAACGGGTTAAACATATTTACCCAAAATGGAATGCTGGTATTGGAAATAGGGACTAAAACCTGCGATCCCGTGGTGGTGTAGCTTTGACCCATACCCAAGTCGCTACGAATCGTATTGAGCAGCCCCGCAAAAGTGGTCAAATGCAAAATTGTAGGTGAATGATGTCCACCAGGATCCCCGATGCAAAAGACTCTGTCAAAATCTCGTAAGGGTCTGTTTGAATTGGGCGGGACGAGCTCCAAGTCTCCTACCATGTTTTTTTGCGGTAGCCAAGTCTTCCACTGAAATGCATCCTTTATATGGGTATGGGTCACAACCAAAACCACCAGGAATTGGACCGCAGGTTTTCGTCTTCGGTTCCCTTTACCAGGCTTGAATTTTGGGGTTACCGCATTTCTGACCCATGGCCATATGAAGTGTACAAGGATGTGAGGCAAGCATCCACTTTTGTGTTTTTTGAGGCATACCTTTTCAGGTCGGTCCAATGGGACTCCGCAAGAGCAAACCAGGATTTGGGGGAAAGAGCCTCCTAGTGTGGATGGACCAAATCCTGCACCAGTTGGGATGGATGAAACCCTATTACGGGGATAAACCACCAATCTAAACCTGTGCCTGGCGTGATTGCCACCGAATTATGTCCATCCACACTGTTGCGCGGCGTGTTTGCTGCTCTTTTTGTTTTTTCTCGGTAAAGCAACAGAACCTTGCCCTTTTGGAAGCTTTCATGGAAGTAGACGTTTTTTGGGCATCTTGAGCTCCACCAATCATGGAAGTGCCGGCTTTTTGGGCTTCTTTAGGACACTTCTAGTCTTCGAAGAAGCCTTTGATCGTTTGGTTGGGTTTTCGGAGGCATGAGGCATCCCATCGCCTCGTGCCCCTTCGGCCGAGTCGTTGCCGCGGGCTTCCTCAGCGCGGCGCTTCTGGGCTTCGGCGGGGGGTGGGAGCCGCCGGAGGCCCAAGGTGATGTTTGAAAGGTTCAGCCTGGGCGGAAATCAGCAAATCCAGTTGGGAATTGCGTAGTCTGCGCCTTCACTGCGCCTTGGTGTAGGGATGAGGTTGCGGGTTAGCGTGAATTCGAAGGCTGGGTAAGGTTACGCTGGAGAGCTGGGTCTGCCAAATGTCTTCCCATCGGTTCGGAGCGAGTGCAATTCCGAGCACCGCGAAAACGATTCGGGCGAGAGCGATGGAGCCCGCAGGCCTGGAGACCTTTCGCCCAAGAACTTTCCTCGGTTGGTTGAAGCATGTCTTTTTATTTTTATTTTTTTACATTTTCGCTGAACTGGGTGGTTTGGTGGTTGAAACCCGAAATTCACTGAGCTGCTAAAATTTGAGAATTGTTGCTCCCCTTTCAACGTCAAGCAAGTTTCAGGATGTGTGGAAAAGGGGAAGGTTCTCAGATCATTCGAGCCATCAAAACCAATTCGGGTAATGATCCGGGTAGTAAGGGACAATCCCAACCATAAATAGCTGCGGAAATCCGCCTTCTTAATTCTTGAAGCATGGTGCTGGGTAGACCATTTTAATACCGTGCTTGGATTGTGACTCATTTGATCCCTTGCTTTTGTTCTTTTTTGGAGGGGGGGTGCTTATTTTTGCGAACAGGGCGCCTTTTCGTCACGGCTCTGAGGCCAAGCGGAGTTGGGGAGTGGGGGAGTGGGGGGGGGGGGTCGGGACTTTCACTTGAGCCACAATCAAAACCCCGGTAGATGAAGGTTAGTAAGGGGCAGTCCCAGCCGGAACTAGTTGCTGCCGCCTTTCTAATTCTGCACATGGCTCTGGATTCACCATTTTTGCACCGATCGGTTTTGATTGTGACTCACTGGAGGTCTGCCACCGGCAACGGCCTCCTGAAGAAGGATGTCGTGCCTGAGTCGCCACAGGCGACCGAACTTCTGACGCCAACCACCAGCAGTATATTGGGTTGAGTGGGTTGGCCCAATGACTACTTGCCTGCCTGCCTGCCTGTGTGGCCGCCTTCCTGCCTGCCTGCCTTCCTGCCTGCCCGCCTGCCTGCTTGCTTGTTTGCTTGCTTGCTTGTTTGGTCTCCCATTGGTTTTCTCGTGACATCAGCTACGAAAAGGGGGGCTGCGAACAGGGCCCTAGTAGAGCCCTGTTCGCCCATGGATCTAGTTTCAGATAGTGAGCGAATTCTATGTCTTAGCAACGCTCGGCACATGTTCTTTGGCTTGTGGCTTGCGTGTTTGGGAAAAACTTCTGAATAAAGCTGGAATCAGTTGACCGCTGTCAACTTTTCCCTATCGGCGCTGGTGGGCATTGACAGCGATGTGTTGTGTTTGCAGCAAGACAACAGGCAACCCTGAATGGGCGCAATTCAGGAGATGATTACAGCAAGACAGCAGCACCCCTGTTTGACCGTTCTACATTCTGTTTCTGTCTCCCCAAACATTTGTGGCGTTCCTGTTGGTTTCACCATAAAACGGAACAGAAGCAGTCGCTGAGGGGTTGCCTTCCATCCCAGCCATGTCCAACTTGGGAAGATCCAAGAACCCATCCGGACCTCAAACAAGGATCTCGGATCTGAAAGGGGATTCTCGTTGAGAAGGGGTTTTGCACGTTGCTTTGCAACGGGGTATTTGGTTTCCTCGTAAGGAACTGGATCTTGTTTCAATGAAAATGAGGCTTTGGAGTACTCCGGTTCTGCGATTTGTTACCACCATGGGGTTTCTCAAGACCTCATTGGCGTATGGGTCAAAATTAAACCACCAGGCTATGGATCGTAAGTTTTAGTCATTGTTTTCTTATTTACCAGGGTGCCATTTTGGGTACCTATTCTTGACCCACAGCCATTGCTTTAGTCGGAGCCTTTGGTTAAAGGTTTTGGGCTATGGTAAGCCTGGTCGAAGCACTCTGCTACAGCTGAAGCCATGGCAAAAGAGCTGGGCAAAGCCCAGCCCATTGTTGCAGGTGTTCCAGGTTTCATACCGATGGGCAAACTCCCGCGAAATGAATCCGTGGTTGACTATGTTGGAATCAGAGCCCGGGGCTCCTGAAGGCTGCGAAACGAAGTTCGAATCCATCCAGCGGATTCGAGTAAGGTGTTTTTTATCCCGCGGCGTGTGAAACGGGCACGTGTCTTGTTCAGGTCCAGGCGCCGCCGCGGTCCCAGGTGTATCAATCGGGGTTCGCTTCTACTCACTTGCCCCAAAGAAGACCTGAAATGACCTCGTAGCTTGACCTTGGTTTCCGGTTTTGGCCCCAAAAGATGGTCACCTCTTATTTCTGGGTCCCAAGAAGCAATGCAGTCTAGCAGCCTAGCAGGCAAAGCCTTTGCCATGGGTATCCACCGGTCCATTCACCAATTCTTTGAACTGGGAGAGCACCAAAGTCGTTTTGCGGAAGGAATGCCCTCGCCTTGTTCCAAGTGATACCGAGAAAATCCATAGCGGCCAAAACCCCCAGGGCCATTTGAGTATCTACCTCGGGCCGTACCGGGTTCCATAGGGATTATAGTTGCATTGCCGGCCTCAGAACCCAAAGTCCATGGGTGTTTTGCGCCCCTTTTCTTTTTTTTTGCAGATGCTGGCCGCAACACCCGGGAATTTCATTCTGGGGTGCGGTCCTGAAGCCGGTGATTAATTATGTGAAGATGACCCGAGCGAAGTTTCTCAGAAGCGGCCGGAAGCTTTCGGCTTGCCAGAGAGGGGCTTTGTGGAGGTGAAAATTAGAGTTTCTTAATTGGCCAGCGGTCTAGATGGGATAGTCAAGGCGAACTTGGTCGGAGGGGCGCCTGTTTTTTTTTTTTTGATCCGCGGATCGATCGGCCGAGGCATTTGATGCGACGTGAGCCTAAGGAGACCGCGAGCCCGTGCCGGCCTCAGGGGGGCAACAGGGATCCCTTTCGTTTCTTCACTGTTCTTGGCTCAAGTGCTGTTTTTTTTCTTTAGGTTGTTTGCTCAAGGTGTTTTTTTGTTTTTTATGTGTCTTTTCCGGTTGTTTGGTTTTTTGGGTGTTCAGTTCCATTTTTGTTTTGCAAGGGGCTGCAAAAACAAAGTTGTTTGCAAGCCCCTTCCAAGGGTTGTGAATTGTTTCGTTTCCCGCGTTGGGTGGCGACTTATATCGGAACCCTACGAGAGGTTTCCCCTTCCAGCACCCAGCAACCGCTTTTTCAACCATGTCCAAAAATCAAAAGCCGGCGGTTGAGTGCTTGGGGGGTGCTGGTTTGGATGGGTGATTGAAGTTTTAAGTTTCCTCAATGGCTTTAAAGTGGAGACTTGCTGGGTTTCAACGCGAGAGAGGGCAGCAAAGATCTGCAACAGTAGCTTCTTTGACACACTTGCCCTTGTCTAAGCCAATGGGAGCCAGAAGGCAAAAAACAGAACCTGGAGCATTGAGGAGGGTTCGGGTTTTTCTTCCGCTCTGAGGCTGCGCTTGTCAATTCGTCTTTTTGGTAGGTGCCAAAATTTACCGGTTCGCCGTGGGAGGGTGCAGGTTTTGGTTGAAGGTGCCCGAAATATTCCGGTAAGCCGTAAGGGAAAGCCACTGGTTTCGGTTTCGGCTTCCCCTACTGTGGATGGCCAAAATCCTACACCACTTTGAAACCATGGTCGAAGCCAGAACGTTTGTTGGTATTTACAGGGGAATTAAATCATTCCAGGGTTTCTGAACGGTTGTGCGAAATGGATTTCGCAGCCACCCACAATATGACCCCAGATCATGGTTGTTGTTGGGAAGCATTTTACATGTTTGTTGATTGTGGTTTAGTGGGAAATCCGCACTTAATTGCTATAAAATTACTATTTATCTCCCCTTACAACGTCAACCAAGAGATGACTACACCCCAGTTTCATTCTTCCCCTCCAAACGCCCAGAACCGAACGCTCCGAGGCCGGCCGAGCGGCCAGAGCAGTGGGGCCACCTCATGAGGAAAGAGGCGAAGGTCGCTTCGGGCCGACGTTGCCACGCCTGACGTTTCGTCTGGCACCTGAGGCTTAGAAGTCCAACATCTGAAAGTATGAGTTTGGCGTCATGTTGAGCCCATATTCATCAACCTCGAAATAAATTACTGGGGGGGTGTGTTCCCTTCCGCACTGACCCCAAGGACGCCCCCCATACTAATACACTCGGGTGGATGAATATTCCCCGCTTGGGTCAGTGTCAGCTAGATCTCAGGCAAGGGACGCCTTGAAGGGAGTCTCCTGTGACAGATGCCCATCCCAAACATGTCCTTTGCCCGCAGAGATGCATCTAAAGTTTCGGGGGCCTGCGTGAACTTTTGGACTTGATTATGGCGTTCATCAGCACATTCGCTTTGTGATTTACTGAACTCTTCCAGGATTCGGTGGTTAGATGTGGTGAATCCACTTGCAATGTATTAGTTTGAATCGTATTGGAACATGGACCTAAAGCAAGTCCCAAAGCTGGCGGTTACAACTCAAACAGGCAAGACGACGCCGTGTCCGCTGGGACCACAAGTAAACTACCCGGTTTTCCCGTTTGACAGCAAGGCAGAAGGGTGGGAACGAGGAGCAATACGTGCACTTCTCCATCGTCAACCACCAAAAATGCAGGATTCAACAGTTCCGACCTGGAGACGTCACGGAGGTGCTTCTTATTAATAGTGGCACATAAATGACTCTCTTGTGTGCCAGTTCATGTTTTTCAAATATGGATATGTCGTTTTGGGGGACGCCCCAAAGGTTGTTGTCTTTTTTGAGGGGGGGTTCCCTCAAAAAAGGAAAGCCAAGTATGTCTGGATGAAAGCCATGGCTCTTGCATACGTTTCCCCATTATGGAACACCAAGCCATGCATGTAGTGCTCGAGTTCAGGTAAGCCTCATTTGGGTATGGGTAAGAATTGAAACCACCACGGGACAGCAGGTTTTATTTTTGACCCCTGGCTGGTTTGGATTCTTTATTTGCATTTGGATTTGAAGCCCTGGTTCTTGCAGAGGGTGAATGGGAAACCACCCCCGGAACACCTCCAAAGTAGGTCAAACTAAACTACCAAGTAGGGGGAAGCTGACAAGTGTGAAAAATACAGCAAGGTTCGTTTGAGGGATTTTCTGGTCGACCTCAACCAAACATGTATGAGCCCCAATTGGCAACTTTAGTTGGTGGTTCTACTACCTGGTCCCATTTAAAGTATATGAACCTTCACAGCCATGTTAACCAAATGTCAAAGGGTTTCGGGCGCTGCTCATTTGAAAGGCAGGACTTGAAATAAGTGTTTGATAAAAAGTATATCTTCCATCTCATCCCCTTTTCTCTGAAACTTCATGTGCCATCACCTCACCGTTTCGTGTTGCCATGTTTGCCAGATTTGCTCCGCAGGCCTTCTTTCAGCACATCCAACGATGTTTGTCTTCACCTTCGGTGAGGGAAGTGGGGTCCATTTCCCGAAAGATGTTGATCTTCAGAGGAGCATTTCAACAGGTTATGTCTCCATCTTGGGGCCCCCCCAAAAGGGGTGGCTTCCTGTTGGTGTCCGTTTGAACCAACCTCAAAACCGGCACCAAGACAAGTGCTCAGCAGGGAAGGAGAAATGGAATGAACCTCGGGATTCCCTCACAGGAAACCACCAGTTGGATGGTTCAAATCGGGTTCATGCGATTTCCCAGTTGCCCAGTGGTGCCCTTGTTTCCTTTTTTTTGAAGGGTTCCCTTTAAGCTCAACCAACCAAAAAAAGGATGCCGATTATTTTTTCAAGTCTCAGATTTGATCTATTGAGAAGGAGGCCCTAACTGGCCAGGTTGCCGTGGCACCGGCCACAGGGCGTGCACCAGGCGGTGAAACCGAGGGGAATTGATGCTGTGGCCGTAGCTTGCTGGTGCGAGAACATGGTTGTTGTTGGGAAACATTTTACATTTTTGCATATTGTGGTTCTGTGGTTGAAATCCAAATCCACTGAACTGCTAAAATCTAAATGTTTGCTCCACTTCCAACGTCAACCAAGATAAGTGGGGAATGAGAAATGGAATGACCCCGATTTGAAGCATCCAACTTGTGGTTTCCTTGAAGGGAAAATGCCCATGTTCATTCCGTCAATCCCTACGGAGCACCAGCAAGAGAAATGAGAAACCCACCCGTCCACATGGAACCTGAGTGCTGGAGAGTGTTTCCTTTCAAAGGGACTCCGCTGGGTTGTATATGAGACATATCCGTCCTACAGATTTTCTCGGTATGCCTCGCCTGTTTGGTCTGCAAGGTCGCGCATGGAATCGACGCATCAACTAGAATCGCTGGCTCAGAGAGAGGGGACTGAGAAGAAGAGTTGGCAGTTTGCGTGCACTGTGAACCACAGCCGAAGGAGTGTTTTTCTCTCCATTAGAACCGGAGGAAGTGGTTAGGTCATGAAGGCGGCATGATGGCAACGTCTCGAACTTGGAGGTGGCACCGAGTTTGGAGCCATGCGAATCAAAAGGATACTGTTGGAGGTGTCCTGTGAACCGATACATCCTGCGATGTCGTTCCGTTGTGGAGGGCGGTTCCGATTCCCATCTTGAGCAACCCTGGTTGACCCGCAAGTGGCTCGTGTCTTTTGCTTCACCAACCACATTGTGTTTTCCCCCAAGAAAAGAAAGCACCCAAATCGATCGCGCACGAAGCATGTTGCTCTAGGGTTTGACTTCCCATGTTTGTTTTCCCACCATCGTGCTTTAAAAAAGCACGGCTTTCCTCGGTTTTGGGCGGAATTCTGAAAAGAATGGACATGGAAGCTTCCCCTAACTTCAGAAGACCCCTTGTTGAACTGGATAAGGAGTCATCCCCTGGAAAACTCACCCCGTCCGGGGGAAGCTTCGAGCTCCTTCGAGTTGGGAAAGCTTCGCATCAGCTTGCAGGCCCTGCCATGTTCGTGGCAATGATCTTCGGAGCATTGGCCATCTACAGCTTCGGACAGCAGCTCAGGACGCGCTGGCCGTGTCGCTGGCCGAATCCAGGCCTCCGAGGCCTCCAAACGTGGTGTTTTTTGGGGGTCCAGACGGGTTTTAGGTCTATGGTCTACAATATGGCCATGGCTCAAAACGGTTTTGGGATACCATTTTGGGGTAGGTGAATTCACCACCCATCTTAGTCTGTAGTGGGGATTGGGATGTTCACTGGGGGGTACAGGGTTTAATGGCGAGGTTTTGCACCTACTCGGGAACCAGCTGACACTCCCCAAACACCTTTTGGGAGTGGTGTTTTTGGTGGGTCCAGACGGGTTTTTTGGTCTATGGTCTACAATATGGCCATGGCTCAAAACCGTTTTGGGATACCATTTTGGGGTAGGTGAATTCACCACCCATCTTAGTCTGTAGTGGGGATTGGGATGTTCACTGGGGGGTACAGGGTTTAATGGCGAGGTTTTGCACCTACTCGGGAACCAGCTGACACTCCCCAAACACCTTTTGGGAGTGGTGTTTTTGGTGGGTCCAGACGGGTTTTTTGGTCTATGGTCTACAATATGGCCATGGCTCAAAACCGTTTTGGGATACCATTTTGGGGTAGGTGAATTCACCACCCATCTTAGTCTGTAGTGGGGATTGGGATGTTCACTGGGGGGTACAGGGTTTAATGGCGAGGTTTTGCACCTACTCGGCACCCAGCTGACACTCCCCAAACACCTTTTGGGAGTTGTGTTTTTGGTGGGTCCAAACGGGTTTTTTGGTCTATGGTCTACAATATGGCCATGGCTCAAAACCGTTTTGGGATACCATTTTGGGGTAGGTGAATTCACCACCCATCTTAGTCTGTAGTGGGGATTGGGATGTTCACTGGGGGGTACAGGGTTTAATGGCGAGGTTTTGCACCTACTCGGCACCCAGCTGACACTCCCCAAACACCTTTTGGGAGTTGTTGTTGGTGGGTCCAAACGGGTTTTTTGGTCTATGGTCTACAATATGGCCATGGCTCAAAACCGTTTTGGGATACCATTTTGGGGTAGGTGAATTCACCACCCATCTTAGTCTATAGTGGGATGGGGATGTTCACTGGAGGGTAGAGGGTTTGATGGCGAGGTTTTGCACCTACTCGGGACCCAGCTGACACTTCCCAAACACCTTTGCGAGTTGTGTTTTTGGTGAGTCCAAACGGGTTTAGGTCTATGGTCTACAATATGGCCATGGCTCAAAACCGTTTTGGGATACCATTTTGGCCAGCTGACACTCCCCAAACACCTTTGGGAGTTGTGTTTTTGGTGAGTCCAAACGGGTTTTAGGTCTATGGTCTACAATATGGCCATGGCTCAAAACGGTTTTGGGATACCATTTTGGGGTAGGTGAATTCACCACCCATCTTAGTCTGTAGTGGGGATTGGGATGTTCACTGGGGGGTACAGGGTTTAATGGCGAGGTTTTGAACCTACTCGGGAACCAGCTGACACTCACCAAACACCTTTGGGAGTGGTGTTTTTGGTGGGTCCAGACGGGTTTTTGGTCTATGGTCTACAATATGGCCATGGCTCAAAACCGTTTTGGGATACCATTTTGGGGTAGGTGAATTCACTTCCGCCCATTCTAGTCTGTAATCGGGATTGGGATGTTTACTGGGGGTACAGGGTTTGATGGCGAGGTTTTGCACCTACTTGGGACCCAGCTGACACTCCCTAAACACCTTTGGGAGTTGTGTTTTTGGTGAGTCCCAACGGGTTTTAGGTCTATGGTCTACAATATGGCCATGGCTCAAAACCGTTTTGGGATACCATTTTTGGGTAGGTGAATTCACCACCCATTTTAGTCTATAGTGGGGATTGGGAGCGGTAGAGGGTTTAATGGCGAGGTTTTGCACATATATATATATATATATATACTCGGGACCCAGCTGACACTCCCCAAAGACCTTTGGGAGTGGTGCTTTTGGTGGGTAAAAAAGGGTTTTAGGTATATGGTCTACAATATGTCCATGGCTCAAACCGTTTTGGGATACCATTTTGAAGTAGGTGAATTCACCACCGATCTTAGTCTATAGTGGGGATTGGGATGTTGACTGGGGGGTAGAGGGTTTAATGGCGAGGTTTTGAACCTTTGGATATTGGGGTAGGTGAATTCACCGCCCATTCTAGTCTGTAATCGGGATTGGGATGTTCACTGGGGGGTACAGGGTTTGGCCAGGTTTTGAACCTACTCGGGACCCAGCTGACACTCCCCAAACACCTTTGGGAGTGGTGTTTTGGTGTGTCCAAACGGGTTTTACTGTAGGTCTATGGTCTATGATATGGCCATGGCTCAAAAGCCGTTTTGGGATGCCATTTTGGGGTAGGTGAATTTGCCACCCATCTTAGTCTATAGTGGGGATTGGGATGTTCACTGGGGAGTACAGGGTTTAATGGCGAGGTTGTGAACCTACTCGGGACCCAGCTGACACTCCCCAAACACCTTTGGGAGTGGTGTTTTTGGTGGGTCCAAACGGGTTTTAGGTCTATGGTGTATGATATGGCCATGGCTCAAAACCGTTTTGGGATACCATTTTGGGGTAGGTGAATTCACCACCCATCTTAGTCTATAGTGGGGATTGGGATGTTCACTGGGGAGTACAGGGTTTAATGGCGAGGTTGTGAACCTACTCGGGACCCAGCTGACACTCCCCAAACACCTTTGGGAGTGGTGTTTTTTGGGGGTCCAAACGGGTTTTAGGTCTATGGTGTATGATATGGCCATGGCTCAAAACCGTTTTGGGAAACCATTTTGGGGTAGGTGAATTCACAACCCATTTTAGTCTATAGTGGGGATTGGGATGTTGACTGGGGGTACAGGGTTTAATGGCGAGGTTTTGCACCTACTCGGGAGCGAGCTCCTCAAACACCTTTGGGAGTGCTTTTTTTTTGTGGGTGCAAACGGGTTTTAGGTCTATGGTCTACGATATGGCCATGGCTCAAAACCGTATTGGGATACGATTTTTGGGTAGGTGAATTCACCACCTATTTCAGTCTATAGTTGGGATTGGGATGTTCACTGGGGGTTAATGGCGAGGTTTTGCACCTACTCAGGACCCAGCTGACACTCCTCAAACAGTGTCCAAACGGGTTTTAGGTCTATGGTCTACAATATGGCCATGGCTCAAAACCGTTTTGGGATACCATTCTGGGGTAGGTGAATTCACCACCGATCTTAGTCAAAAGTGGGGATTGGGATGTTCACTGGGGGGTAGAGGGTTTATGGCGAGGTTTTGAACCTACGCGGGAACCAGCTGACACTCCCCAAACACCTTTGGGAGTGGTGTTTTTGGTGGGTCCAAATGGGTTTTAGGTCTATGGTGTATGATATGGCCATGGCTCAAAACCTATTTGGGATACCATTTTGGGGTAGGTGAATTCACCACCCAGTTTAGTCTATAGTGGGGATTGGGATGTTCACTGGCGGGTACAGGGTTTAGTGGCGAGGTTTTGCACCTATATACTTGGGACCCAGCTGACACTCCACAAACACCTTTGGGAGTGGTGTTTTTGGGGGGTCCAAACGGGTTTTAGGTCTATGGTCTATGATATGGCCATGGCTCAAACCAGTTTTGGAATACCATTTTGGGGTAGGTGAATTGATCACGGGATTGGGATGTTCACTGGGGGTACAGGGTTTTTCTGGTGAGGTTTTGACTCGGGACCCAGCTGAAAAAAATGTTGTTTTTGCCGGGTCCAAACAGGTTTTAGGTCTATGGTCTATGATATGGCCATGGCTCAAGACCGTTTTGGGATACCATTTTGGGGTAGGTGAATTCACCACCCATCTTAGTCTATAGTATAGTGGGGATGGGGATGTTCACTGGGGGGTAGAGGGTTTGATGGCGAGGTTTTGCACCTACTCGGGACCCAGCTGACACTCCCCAAACACCTTTGGGAGTGGTGTTTTTGGTGGGTCCAAACGGGTTTTTAGGTCTATGGTCTACAATATGGCCATGGCTCAAGACCGCCTTGGGATACCATTTTGGGGTAGGTGAATTCACCACCCAGTTTAGAACCTATTTTAGTGGTTGGATTGAATCAGATGTTCACTGAAATACGATTTGGCTTTTGACCCGTGGCCAAAGTTCAACTCCTAGAGCCACGTTCGCTGTTTTATCATCTTTGTCAAAAAGTTGGTTTGGAAGGGAAGTTCAAACTGCCAAGTTATGGGTGCTTCGAATTCAGGAGCGCCTTCAAGCTCCTGGTGCAGGCTGGGAAGACTGGAAACTCTTGCGATGGTGTGTCATTTGCGGGTGGCCCCTTTCTTGTGGCCTCAAAGAGCCCCAAGCAAAACGACCCAAAAAGAAACAAAAACACATGGGGATGAACATGTGAGCCACGGTCAAAATATGCGTATATCACTTTAGTAAAGCGGGGTTGGTTTTAGCATGAATTTGCAGAAATCCGCGCAAAACGATAGGGCCCCCACCAACTACGATAACATGGTTTGTGATAAACGTTTGTCGTGCTTGCGCATTTCTGGTCAAGACAGCAGGAGGCAGCAGGAAAGTGGAAGCAAGTGTACTTCGCGTTCTAGACTTGTTCTACAAAGTTGCGATTTTCGAGCTGGAGCTGCGGAAGTGTACTTCGCGTACTAGACTTGTTAATGCGAAGTTGCGATTGTCGAGCTGGAGCTGCGGAAGTGTACTTCGCGCACTAGACTTGTACAACAAAGGTGCCTGCAGAACGGACAACTTGGCGTGCTGTTTGCTCAAAACCGGCGTGGTGCGAGACATGCGCAAAATGCTGTAAAACGATAGGGCCCCCACCAAAAACGACAACTATATAAAAACCTCCTTGACGAAGACAAGTGAGAACCTATTGTGGGTGGACGAAGTCCTGCACCACCTGAGAAACCCTGGAACGATGAATCCCCTTGAAAAACCAGCAACAATGGCTTCATGGTTTCCAAGTGGCGAACGGATTTTGTCCGCCACAGGATTCACTCCAAAAAAAAGCGGCTCCTGTCGATTGAAGCCCAGCGGTGGTGAGCTGAACAGCCCAGGGCTCTGGATACGACCTCAAGGGCAAGTGAGACGCACGCGATGGACCAGATGAACCAGAAGCTAAATGAGTTTCCGATCGCTCACAAAGACCGAACCAAAGAAAAAATAATGTAAATACCCAAAAAATATGTCAACGGATATACATACACATTAAGCATATTTTAACTAAAAACGGCAATATGAATAAAACGGAAAACCCTAAATCCGAAACCCCTATGCTATGAAATTGATTGAAAATCAAATATTGTGATTGTGGTGCGATGTAGACCGGAAACGTTGGAGCGCTTAAAATTGGAGAGAGAAAATTAGGTTATGTATTTGGATATCTATTAAATTTAAGGGTTGATTGTTGAAGGAAAGAGATGGGATTTAATTTCTTATAATGATATTAAAATGGAAGGTGGTTAATATTTATATTTATAATGAAAGGTTGGACATGTTTATTAGGAGAAAATATATGGGTGAGGGTATTGGTTGGTTTGATTTAGAGTTTTTGGTTTAATTTGCCGATATGTGTTTTATTTTATTTATTTGTTTTATATAATTTATTATATAATAATAGTTAATTATAAATTATTCGCTCGACTAAAATTCACAGTTTCTTTCATTTTTAATTCCATCCTTTTTATATCCTTCTAAATTCTTTTTTACCTTTTTCATTTCTCGTTATTAGTTTATATAAAAAAAACAAAAATAATAAATAAAAAAAATCAAATTATAAAGAAATATAATAGTTAAATATTGAAAAAATTAAAAAAGAAATAAATTTATTATATTATAATATTAAAAATAATAATAATATAATAATAAAAAAAATCCTCTAATAAAAATAAAATATATTATGTTCTATATTAAAATATAAATAACAAAAACAAAAAACATATTAAACTATACCAAAAAAAACAACATTTTTGGATCTTTTATTAAAGCCGAAGGCTTTTGGGATTGCCATTTTTTGGGTATGATGTGTTGGATGTTTAAATTTTGGGTTTTTTTTATATGTTTATGATTTATATATTAAACAAAATATGTTTTATTTAGGTTTAGGTTTCGCTTAGATATACAGGATTTATATTCCTAGCGTTGTTAGGATTACCTTGCTATTATGAAGTTATTTCTTCTTTTTGTAGAGATTAATGACGTTTGTTGTTCCAAACAATATTGGAATCGGCCTATTAAGGGTCCTAGTCGGACTAAGTGCAATGATATATTGACGAATTGTTCGAATTTGCAAAAATGAGTCTTTTTTGATTCCCCACCTGTATGAAGAAATTATTGCGAAACATCTTTTGCATTATTGTGCTTTTGGAAATCTATTTCTAGGGTATTTGAGGGGGGTTGTTAGTATCGACATTTGATTATTGATTTTGGGAAATATAAAAAATACATATATTTTTTGACGTTTTTATGACCTTTTATTATCTCGTGTTAATAAACAACATTTTCCTGAAAAATAGAAAACAAAGATCAACATCCATTGCACCCCATTGGCATCGGCGGATCCCGTAGCGATTTCAATAAAACAAAGGAGATATAGGGGAATAAAAGAGATGAAATATATAAAATATGAAATGGATATATCGAGAACATATTAAGGTTATGAAGGAGGAGATAAAAGGAATGAAAGAGATACAATTTTTATTTCTTTGTATTTTTTTGTATTTCCTCTTAATATTATGTTTTTCCATTCTTTTTAATTCCCCTTTTATGGTTCTATCATTTTCTCGATATGTCACGAATTATTTCTCTATATTTTCCGTCGTCGATTAGATGTTTAATTATTTATTATTTTATCTTTTGTTTTTTATTTCTTTATATTCCTTTTATTTTATTTCTTTTTCATTCCTTAAATTCCTCTTGTTTTTTTTTGTTTTTTGTTTTTTTTATCTTCTTTTTAATTGTCCTTTATTTCTTTTTTATTTCTTATTATTTCTCTGTTATATCGATATTCTATTTCCTCCCCTTATCTCTATTTCTTTGTAGTTCCTTATATTGTCCTTTTGCTCCCAATATTTCCCGCAAAAAAACAACACCGGTTTTTTAGTGGTTTCGCAAAAAAAAACGTCCCAAATTACAGATTTGTTTTTCCAGATTTTCGGCAAAAGGAGGTAGGAAACCCGAACCAGCAAAGAACCGGCAAGGAGAATCGAGCTAGGGGGGGGGTTATTCTCTATCCTCTTTTAGGTGTTCGATGAGCAATATCGGCGGATATTACGATATTGGTTATTCTTATTTTAATGTTGTCGAATTATGTATTATAATATTTATAATTGATATATAATTTATATTAATTTGGGAATATATTTAATATAATTTGGATTATAATTTGACAATTTATTAATATCTTATAATAGTATTAACAGAATAGGTAATTATGATTATTTAATAAATTGATAAAACTATAGAGGATAATTGACAATTAAGGAAAACCACATAGATTTATATATGTATTTAATTAATAATATTTTGATTTTGTTTATATTTTTTAATAATTGTTTATATAATCTGAATTTTGTGGATTTATTATTTTTACGATATAAAGAATTTATGTTTGTTGGATCGACATTTTCTTCTTGGATTGGGTTTTATTTATGGGATGGGTCCGTGTATAAAATGAAATGGTATTAATTTATGGGTGATCGAAATAAATTGTTGGATTGGCAAATTAAATCTTTTATAACAATAAATAAATATAATGTTTAAAAGATATATTTATTATTTCTATATATTATATTCAATATATATATATTTTTTAAATATAGATCTTAAATTTAAATATATATCTAAATATATATATAGAAGCTAATAATGTGTGCTATAATGCAATTAAATAATATATTTTATCTTATTTTCCTATATTAAATAAACTAATATTTATAAATATATATATTCTATAATAAATATTTAATATAAATAATATATTAATATAATTATATTTATTTTAACCATATATATATTTCAAATTAAACAATTATATATATATATCATTTAATTATTAATTAAATTTATATATTATTTAATAAATATGTATTATATATATAAATTCATATATATAAAGCTCAAATATTCTATATAATATATATCTTAATTATGTCCCTAATAAATGAAAAATATTAATAATTCCATAATTATATTTAATATATGTAATGAATATATTATAATAAATTATAATATATTATATTAATATATAATATATAATATTTAAGCTTTTTACAAACCAATATACACTATATTAAATATTATATTTTTATAATTTATATTTCAATAATAAATTTTAATTAAGCCAATTATATTGCTAAAAATCTAAAAACAAAAATCATGCCCTATTTACAATAATAAAAAAAAAAAAATATAACAAATATTAAAAATACATACAAAACATAAGGAGAAGAAATAAGAAATCGATATAACACAAAATCAATAAGAAATCAAAAAATATAAACAAAAATAATATAAAAAACATAAAGAAAACACATAATCAATCGGTACAACAAAAAAATGAAAAACTGAAATATATATAAACAAAAAGCAAATAAATATTTTGAAAAACAAAACATAAAAAAAAATAAAACGAAAAACAAATATATATATTTAAACAAAATATTATATAACATAACTAAAATAACAATTCAAGATTCAAACAAAAACAATGCCCAAAGCAAATCAAATACAATATAACATTATAATATAGAAAAAAAAAAAAAAAAAGAAAGACACAAATTAAATCTTAAACATAAATAACAAAAAATACAAACACAAAAACAACAAAACAAAGAAATACCATAAAATAAAAAAATAACAAAAAAAATAAGGAAAGAGAAATTTAAGATAATAAAGAGGATATCAAGAGCAAATAGAAGCAAAGAAAATAATAGAACACGTAGCAAAGCAAATAAGGGAGAAACAAAGGAGAAGAGAGAAGAAAACAATGTCGACGAACTGAACCGGAGGTTCTAAAGTACAAATTCCAATTTGTGTAATATCATATAATTCGAATCTGAAATAATTCTGAAATATATGCTCGTTGGACTGCTGAATGTGTCTGTCAGAAAGCAGCTCTTTAACCCTTTCCCAGCAAGTCACAAAAAGGGCCACAAATGGTCCGATATCCCACCAGCCACGACATCGGGTCAAATCACGTGTGTCATGCTCATAAGCTGCAGCTATCAAGCCGTGCCCGGAGTGCGCGGAGTCGGCTTCAGGCTGCCGCGCGCTCAAACAGCCGGAACGAAGGGAAAAAGCCCATCCGCCTTGCGAGGCAGCGGCGAGCCGAGCGAAACACAAAGATGGCACGAAACAATGGGGCATCTGAGCAGCGATTCGCCACGCAAGTGCAACACCTCTGCAACGCATTGCAATGCCCAAGAGCTTGAGACGGCAAGACAAATGCAACCGCCAAGCTGGTCTTCCCTTCCCAATCCAAGTCAGCGCACGCAAATGCCCAACATGGATTCAGCTGGTTTATACGGCGAGAGGCACCCGACCTCTGTTCAACGGGCAAAGGCGGATGCCTGGCCCAGAACGCAGGCTGCGCCAAGCAATCCAGCTGAAATCCTGGCAACATGTGCCCGGGCCAATCCAGGCCCTGGTGCTCAAAGATGGGACCACGTTCAGTTCCAATGCCCCGAGCTTGAGGAAGGCATTCCTTGCCGCTCCCGGACATCCATCAACTTTTCATCGAGAAAGCAAAGGAGGCCGCTGACTGGCGCGTGCCAAAGGCCAATCAAGAAAGGTGCACTACGCCTGCGCCTACGCCTTCACAGAGCCAAAACCGGAGACGGCCCCTCCAGGGGTTGAACTCCTGATGAGGCACTTCCGTATTAGGCTATTGCGGCACGTTTGGCTGCGGAAGTGAGCTAAGCGCACAAGCAAAGTTGCTTAAGGCTGTGAACCCCGATTCTCAGCTGCAAACAGCACTTTCAAATAGGTGGGGAGCTCGCACGAGCTCCGATCCAGATTCAATACTGAAGCGCTCGACCGTGGTCGCTCAATAGGGGACATCAGATTTTGTCGTTTCTTAAAGATGTACGCGCCTTTCAATTGTCGAACACGGCGCATGCGCTGCTTGCGCGATGCAGCTTCTCACCCTTTTTCTCGCAAGATAGGCTCTCAACCCGCCTGGCGCCCGTCCCGAAAGCCGAGGGTCCCCATTCTCTCAGCCTTTGGAAATCTCGTTCCCAGGCCCGGACATCGGGAAACCAACTTTCTGGAAGCACCAGATCGGTTGACAGCGCACAGTGCTTCATCTTGGTCGTGCGACTGAATGCAAACGAACGTTGTTGTTCAATGCCTGAAGTTCCCGTTTTGCAGCACAAGCGCCTGACATCTGCAAGAAAGGTTAACTTAACGCGCTGAAGCACACGCACGACTCTTTGCACAGGGTCACATGCCGGAGAACATGGCCAGCCCCTCAAAGCTGGCAACGGACACCAAAGCTTTCGAGGGCGCAAGGGGTCGAAAAGCGCGGCTGCGAGATGCAGAAGGCAGGCCAGCGTGGCGATAAATGCTGCAAAGCCAGCGCCAAACCGGAAGGAACCTGGCTCGGCGTTCAGCACGGTCGGCGCCTGCGTTGCATTCCAAAACGGCCAGCCGTGACACTTCTAAAGTTTGCGCCTTGTGGCTGGAATGACTTCTGCACAACCTCCAGCCAAGCGTCTTCCAGTTTTGCAGAACACCCAGCAACCTGTTACCACAGCAAGACTTCATCATTGAAACGAAGGCTGCCCCGATGCCACTCAGGTGGCCTGACCGAGCTCGCTTGCGGCATGTCAGTCGCAAGCTGCACGGTTGCACCACAAGGGCATTGTCTGAAGCAGGCCTGCAAGCAAAGAACAGCAGGAAAGCCCAACGCGTGCTGCGGCACCTGCTTGTCAGGCCACGCACAAAACTCTGCTCTTGTTCGCGCCGCGAAATCTCAATGTTTTGCTTGGGCTATGGTTCCTAAACGCTGCCTTGCGGAAACGAACAGTGTTGCAAGCTAAACCATGTCTCCCTCCCAGGTGAAACAAGGGCAGGCAAGTCTCTGGCAGAATGAGCTTCCGTCCTGCAGGAGGTTCTCACCTGCCGCAGTCATAGGTCAAATCCAGCGCTATCTGTAGCAACAGGTGCTGGCCTGACAAGAGGAGTAGTGAGCGGGTTTCAACTGAGCAAATCTTTTGATTTGAGAAAATGAACTTGTGAATGCAGAGATTGAAGAGGGCAGCTAAACGGTATCAAAGGAAGAGCATGCCGCCTGCCACATAGGTTACGGCAATTTGCGCAAAGTGCTCACCTTGCATGCTCACAAAATGCGCTGCCCTTACACGCTGGCAGCAGCACACCGCGTCAAAGCACATCAAACACAAATTCCGCGGCTGTGCTAGTGTGGCTGCTGCGTGTGACTGACCGCAGAGGAACGTGGTGGCTTAATGCCTGAAGCACTCGCTGTGCAGCACATGAAAGGCTTGGAGTACCCCTGCTAGACTAAGTTCCAAAGACTGGGGCTTTCCATCACGTTTCAGATTGCGTCTGATAAGCTCAAGCACCTGACGTGGCACGTGGATGGTGTTTGAGTACATGTCAGCTCTGGTGCTTTCTTTGGAGGGGTCATGGATGGGTGTTTGAGACATGTCAGCTTTCTTGCTTTGCCACGTGTCTCCAAGTCCTTTCACGCAAGTGGCAATGGCTGGTGAGACAGCTTGAATGCAAGTTGCTGGGGTGCCCCCCTCCAGGCGTGACTCCCCACCGCGTGGTTCGTAGACGAACCTACAGGCCTCTGCTTGCTTGCTATGCGCTCGCTGACAGCTTGCTGCTATTGAATAAGAGCTTTGCTCTTTTAGTATCAAGCTATTTTCTATCTGGTCCGTGTTTATTGAAATGTTGACATGGGTCCAAACAGCGTTTTGGACGACAGACCTGGCAATGGCAATGGCCTGCAGCATTGATGATGACAATGAGGAGGATGATGGCATGCAAGTGTCAGTCCAACAACTTGCTCGGAAAATACGTCGCTCCTCTGCGCCCAGACTACTGTTTCTGGCCCCTGGTTGTCCATTCCGGACAATCACATAGCAATGTTTGCTGGCTACAAATTTCAGTTTTGCAAATGTCTGCGTGAGGTCGCCTTTGACAGGACCCGCAGATGGCAAGCTCTGAGCGGCTATTCGGGAGATTTGATTGCTAGCAAGCAAATAGAGGGTGGCACCCCGCCCTTGTGCAGCAGTGGCAGGGCATGCTTTCCTTCAAAACGGAGCCCAAAACTAATGAAGTAGACCGAGCACGGGGAAAACATGCGCAACAGCGAAAAAGAACGTGTTTGGGCATTGCCCGGGAAACGATGTAGGATGAACATGGTGCCCTTCTGGCGCGCATTAAGTGTTCAAAGTGCCCGCACATGTGCAGAGAATCTGCTCGTATTTGGCTGCTTCCGCAAAGTGATGCGGCGAATTTCAGCCTTGCAAGCAGTCACAGGACATGGAACTCGGCTCTTGAAGGTGGGGCGGGCACACCCCGTTGATCCCAATAAGGCTTGAGCTGCAAAACTGGCATCCTCCAAAGAGATCTGCTTGCCACTTGGCAAACTGGCGATATCCTGTTCGGGATCAAAAGCTGCAAAGCCGGGCAGTCGGTGACGAGATGGGTTCCGCTGCTCAGTCTTGATCAAAAGAAAACGCCGCGCATCCCTCGGAAGGCGCGCGCAGCTAAGCCGACCGCACCGCGGACTCTGAACGCCCTCGTTGGCTTAGAGGCGGGTGAAGGCTCACAAACCGGGAGCACGTGCGAGCTCGCTCTCCTTCATTTCCTGACCACTATGCTGCTGCGTGGGAAACATCCTCTACTCCAAGATGCGCAACTCCTTTGAAGGGGCCTTCCACGTTGGCACTTTTCAACTTCAGCAAGCGCAGCGGGCACCGCTTGCCATGTTCCAGCAACAGTCCACAAGCACAAAGACTTTTGCATTCTTTGGCTCCGCGCACATCAAGCACTTTGAAGGGTCGCGATGGGTCGCATTGCGCCGTTGTGCCCCTTGGAACTTCCGCGCCCGAGCCGGCCCTCAGTCGCCAGGAGAGGCGTGTCAATTAAAGCTTCAGTGCCCGACACAGGGCTGGCCTTCTGCAGGATCACACCTTGCAAAGGCTGCAGCAACTCAGGCAATGTGCGGACATGCTTGTACATTGGCATTGCAGGCACTCGCATGTCCCTAGCACTGACATAGAGGCGCAAGGTCTTGTGGTCATCAGTCCGCGAACTAGAGGAACAAATGGCGTGTGCTCTGAGCAGAAACTAGACATGAACCTGTGTGTGACATGTGCTAGGCATGGCAGGAGCTCGACGTGTATCTATGATCAACAATGGAGTTCTATGTCCTTCTCTCTCTCTCAGTCTGCGTGGGAACTCAAGCCCTGTCGGAAACCAAAGTTACTGGCGCGGCATCGCCATCAGGCCCACCGCAAAGCGAACCGTGAAGCCCACTTTCGGCGAATCTTCGGAAACCGCAGAATGGCATTTTGTTTCTGCTGCATGGCAATGGGGCACCGTTGGGCCTATTGAACCTGTGCCCGAGCCGGCCCTCGATCGCTTTCGAGGAGAGGCGTGTCAGTCATAGCTTCAGCTGCGCACCCAGAACTGGCGGGGCTGGCAGCTGGTGCTGGCTACGATCAAGCTGTAGGGATACTTCCGCACTCCTTGGATACTCGCACCTCGGCGTTGCAAAGACCGAGGCAACTCTTCAGATGCCCCAGCCTGGAGTTGGGACTGAATGCAACAAGGTTCAATGAAAGGCCTTGGACAACCGCATTTCGCCATCAAAATCTCAGCCGCCAGAACTAATGCACGGGCGGCATCCAGGCTACTTTCCGTGCGTCAAGCCGTTCCATGGTGATCGCTGGGAGGTTCTGGGCGCTTGCGCCAGCGAAACGGCTATGCCAGCAAAGAACGCTTTCCTTGGAGCCAAAAGCAACCACTGCATGACTGAGGGTCAAAAATAGGTGACCACAATGGGTTACCCTGGTAAATGGGTTACCAAGGACGATTTAACCTGCGGCCCAATTCCTGGTGTCATTTTGACCCACACCCGCTGTCTCTTTAGCCACCAACGAATGCGAGACTTCGAGTCCTGGGGTCCAAGAAACCTCGCAGGACTCCTGCGAAAAGTGCATAGCTTTTAGCGGCTTAATACGGAAAACCCCCATGAGTTGGCGAAAAGTTAAAGTCCGAACAGCCAAGCAACATGCACCAAAGTTAAAGAAAAGATCGCAACCACTTGTAGGCCTAGCAACTAGAAGCCCCACCACCAGGCCCTCGCCACTGGAACCGCTCGGAACTTTCCAGAACGACTGGAGACTGGAGGAAAGAGCGGAGCGAGGGGTGGAGCGCAGGGCGGAGAGAATAGGCAGAAGAACACACGGAGTACACAGTGCCCAGCGCGCGGACCCGTTCATGGCAGTGCAGCAAAAGCACAGCCGATAGCCAAGTTGCTGCTTTTTTTGTCACTGTTGCTGGTTTTTGGGGTAAAGTGGATGGAAAAAAGCAGCAACTGGCGATCCAAGGCACCTTTTGTTTTCTGCCAAAAGACTGCCGGCTTAAGCATCTCAATGGTCATTCCTGAGGCAAAACAATGATGCGGACAAGCGATGCATCTCATTGTGCGATGGTCGTAGTGCCTCCTCCAAGTTGGAATGCCTCCAAAGTAACCGCTGTAAAGTGTGGGTCTCCTAGGTCTGAAATCAGGACTGTTTCAAATAACCAAGAGGTGCACCTGAAAGTCCAACTTGGAGGTGGCCAAGTCATCTGCATATGACCATGGCACAGGTCTTCCCCTTTGTGCTCACAACTGTGCGTGTAGCCCGTCGTAAGAAAATCCCAAAGTTCATCAACATGGCTGATACCAGGTTTGTGTGCTTTGCGCACTCAACTCAGACGCCGTATCAGACAGTGTTTGTTTGAGAACGGTGGCAACCACACACACATACACAAAGGGAGAGTGCTTTGCAGGGTGCGTGTTTTGCCATCTGGCACTTTTGAAAGGCAGGAAGGCGATGAGGATCTAGTGACTTCCGGCGTGCGTTTCGGGTATGTTCCTTTCCTCAGCACCCCTCCAAGTTCGCAAACTGCAAACAGCTCTTGCGCTGCTGCTCACTCTACCCAAGCTGTAGCAGCAGCGACCCCTAGAGCCCTAGAGGTATCTGCGCATTCCCAGGCTGGGGGAGAAGTAGCGAGTCCCGGCAATATCCGGCTGTATGGGTCCCATGCTCTTCTTGTTAGTTCATAAGAATGCTGTATGCCAATAGGGTACGTACATATATATATATATATATACACATATATACACATACAAATGACATTTAGTGTAGATTACGGGCACCTTCCACAGGGGTACGTGCACGTCCAGCCTTTCAGATGGCTTCTGACAAGTCCCTCACAAAGATCATGGAGCCTAGCCACAAAACAGGATACTCCTCATCGGCTTCAGCTTTCCCTTGGTCCTCTCAAACCAAAACAAGGGTGCTCCTATTTGCTCCTTTCAACCCCCTCCATTGCGACCAGCTTGGCATACCTCCCAAAGACAACCTAGTTGCACCTTAGCCATGAATTTTGTCCAACGCCCCCCCCCAACTCTTCTAAACAAAGAACTACACGTATGTTTAATGCACATGTGTAATCAATCAAAAACACTCGCCCGACCCCAACAAGGTGGTCGGAGAGATGGAGCGGCGGGACTTGCCGACCCAATGCAGATCCTGTATGATCCCGTCATACAGAGCGCCGGGCTCGCAACGGGCTCGCAACAAAAACGTCGCGCGGCCGATATAAAAAATGCGCGGCCAATCTGCTCGAGCGGAAATCGCTTGGAGCCCTGCTTGAGCTTCCTCGTGGTGTTTTTCTTTCGGAGCCGGAGGAAACTCCCAAGGTCCAAGTCTGTGACCTTGACCAGCCAGAGGAAACTCCACATGTGAGACATGTGTTTTTTTTTAATCCCGTTTTTTTTTAATGGGAAAACACATGAGACATGTTTGTGTTGTTTTTTTAATCAGCTCCGTTTTTCTCACAAATCTCTCGTTTGCCCGGCTCAAAGGCTCACCACAAAGCCGCTGTCGATGGCCCGCCGCAGCTCTTCGCAGTCCACGTCCGCTGCATTCACCTCGCCGTCTTCGCTCGGATTTTCGGAAGGTGGGAAGGCTTTGGCTCATCCCTCTTTCCCGAGGTCAGAGAGGTTAGAATAAGTCAAGGTATCCGATTTTTTTTGATTTGTCTATTTTAGTAGGGGAACCCAAAACCCCAAGAAAGGAACGGTGAGAAAGGGCACCTAGCGGGGGGACTTTTTTGGTCGGGAAGGTGGGAAGGGTTTGGCTCCCGTGTTCCTTTGGTGGTTTCCCCGACTTTTTTTCTAGGGGTGGACTTGGTTTTTGTTTTCTTTTCCTTTTCTTCTTGGCGTTGACTTTGGCTTTTTCCCCTTCCCCTCTCGCCCGCGAACATGGCAACTCACAGAAGTTCGCCCAAGAGGAAACTGGTCTTCCGGGTGCCCTCCTACAGGTGCCATGGCAACGTGGGAGGAGGGGTCTCTCGTTTTCCTTTGGTGTTTTCCCCCCTTTTCCTCGGGGACTGCCGTTGGTTTTGGTTGACTTTGGTTTTGCCCGCTCTGCTTTAGGGGTTGACTTTGGTTTTTGTCCATTTTTTTCTACGGGTGGATTCCTTCTCCATTCTAATCAACCATTGTTCTTTTCAAAGATCAGCTGTTTCCCCCGGGTTTTGATGGTTTTCTGCAAAGAAGGAACCCTGGAAAGAATGGTTAAGCTTTCGCTCGATTTTCCAGAACCCCGAAAAAATAGTCCCGGGAAGGTGTTGTTGCTTTCTCCTTTGACTCAAAGTCGGGGGAATGGAACTGGGGTCAAGAGGCCAAATCAGAGCCCTTGCTTGAGGCTTGTCCCAGGCTTCTGAACTGAGCTAGCCAGTAGAGAGGTTAGAATCAGGGTACCAACTTTTTTCTGTAGTCTATTTTAGTAAACCCTCCCCCAAACAAGTTGGTAAAAGGGCACCTAGCTGGGGGACCTGGTGGGCGAAGGGCTGAAGTGTTATCTGTCTGACCTGTCTCCACACTCGGGCCCAGGGAACGCGCCCTTGTCATCTCTTGAGCTCGGGGCAGGGCCCAGGAACAAAATCAGACCTGGAAGACCCTAGGCCTTGTCAGGCTCTGTGCGGCACCGCTCAATTGAAGGTTTCATGAGATGTATCTCCAAACAGACTTGCACCAAAAACACCCAAATTCAGGGTGGACGAAAAACATGATACAAGTACTATTTCAGTCGGAAAACAACTTGTACATGGCCATGAGATACTACAAGGATTGCTCTGTTAAGGGTAGAATGACACCTGATTTCTAGCAGACCTCCTTTACCACATGCAGCTTGGGATTCGATTTCTTTCAAGCCAACGGAAGGGCGAAGCATCTCCGTTTTGGCTCCGAAGAAAGCCAACCTTTGGATTTAGCCGTGTGGAAAATGGAAAGGCCCCTGTGCGGAACTGCTTGACGACTTATTCTCATGCCTTCAGTTTTCGGAAATCCTCAACACATTAGAGTTGCGAACACAGCACCTGGATCAAGAGAACTCTTTTCGGGGTTGACCTTTGTCGGGGCCCCTCAGCCAACAAAAACCCAAAGGCTTCCGCTGAAGTTGGTATGATCCAGTTCTGGGGAAGAGGATTGCCTGAAATCCTGATCGGCAGGGGGTCCGTTGAAAAGGAATCTTGGCCTGGAAGCCCCCCCCCCCATCAGGTTCCATGCTGATTGGTGAAAAGGTAACCAGGTCTCCCAAGAGTCAGACTCCCCAATCATGTTCTTGGACGGTCACCCGTCAGAACATACAACTTACTACCCAGCTGCCCCGTACAATTGAACAACACCCAAACAACTTATTTGGGGATATTGAACATCTCAGTGGAATTTTGACAGGTTGAACACAACCGAGAACATGAGCCATTTCAGGAAGCACCCATATCCGCAGGGAAGCTATGGACCTTCGTGGTGCCAGCGTGGGAGCTGGGCGTGGGCCAAAGGAGCCACCAATTCCTCCCCTTCGGAAGGTGCCATTTCAAACATCGTTTACAGAGGTTGATCTCTCCAGTGTCAGATGGTGAAACAGATGTGAGCACCTTGCAAACGAAGCTTTCTTGCGTCCCGTCATCCAATTTCCATGGCGCCTTTGGACCAACTTTCGCTTGTGAGTCGCAGGAGCCTGTCGCCCCTTTTGAGGTTCCGAAAAAGACACCGACGGAAGCCGAAGCTGTAGGTTCACGCTGAGCCATACAAACTCCAGGCGACTCGCTGCATTGTTTCAATCTACTTCGACACTATATTCATGGCATGGAAAAAACAAAAGGTCAGCTCCGAGAATACAAGGTTCCACGGATTCCTCAATTCCCGAGTAGGTTGGCCAGAAAAAGTCAAGCTTCCTTGTTTGCCACTAGACTCGGCTGCCCTCAGATCCGCTAAAAGTGTCTGACTTGCAGACACTACCATTCAACCAACTATAAACACCTAAACAGCTTGGAGCCGGATGAATCGCTGAGCCAAGTAACATCCTCCAACCACCAGGCGGGGTCCTTTTGCCACCTTCTCCGAGAAAATGGGCGAATTCCCTCAAAAAAAAAGGTCCACCCCCCCCCCCCCCGCCCATCCTTTCCGAGCGCCTAACTTCTCCTAGGTCCAGTAGAGAGGTTAGAATAACTACTGTCCGATGTTTTTTCCTGTAGTCTATCTTAGTAAGGGAACCCTCCCAACCAAGAAAGGTACCAACTTGTTTTTGTAGTCTATTTTAGTAGGAGAACCCTCCCAACCAAGAAAGGGCCTTTTTTCTGTAGTCTAGCAGGGTTGAACCCTCCCAACCAAAAAAGAAACGGTGACAAAGGGCACCAATTGCCGGGGGACCTCGTGCCGCGTGCAACGTTTTGAACTCGACACGCGACGTTTCGAAATCCGCGCCTTGGAGCGGCCCGACGTCGGCGTGCCCGACGGATGAGTCACCGTCTTAGTACCCCTGGGAGCGAGCGAGGCGAGCGGTCGCCGGTCTTCCCCGTTTTGAGCATAGCCCCCGGATCGATCCGTGGAGCAAAAAAGGGGACGCTGGAAGACGTGGTTTAATTTGTTGGATTCGATTTAGATCCGGGGTGAACTAATTCGAATCAAACTTGGCTTGGGCCAGCTTGCCTTGATTTCAGCGACGAGTCAACAATGGAATCCATCCCAAAGTCACCTGAGTCCCCAAAACGGGTCACCAAATTGTCAAGCCACAGTTTCTTTATCACATAGTTCATGACTGACTTTGAGAATACCACAAATGATGGGGCTCCAAACAGCTTGTGTTGACAAGCTCACATTCTATGAGGTGAACCCGGAATCTGTTGAACATATGAGCTCCCAAATGCAAGCTGGGCAGTCTCCATGTTTGAGAGGTGCCGGATGCCAAGCTGAGCCGCTTCCTTTCTCCCAGTCCCTACCGTCATGCTCCATGATGACACCGCTGCTTGCGCTCTTTGTTACATTATACTTTGTCTGATGCACGCATGCGGCTCTGCATTGGCTTCCCGAACACCCTTGACGGCCGATCAACTCCGCTGGGAGGGCTTCTTTGTACCGCCATGGAGGAGTCGTACAGCATGATGCTGGATGTTTCTTTCCAAGCGTGGCGCATGATGCCGACCCGTACAGCTTCTCCTTGCTCGGACATTGAGTTTGAGGCTCCTGCGTGCTCGCCAGGCCAGGTTTGGCGTCTCTGTTCGACCCGAGAACGAGGGCTGTTGAGGAAAGCAATAGCATCCCACATCCTAGCACATGTTTTTGCCACTCAAAGACTCTACACAACGCTACTTTGAAAACGCCACGTGCTCAGGACGCTGCCTTCATAGGGCGCTGCCTCACCACATCCGCAAAAACAAAAATACATGTCCACCGCAATCTATCTCTGCCCACACGCGAATCGGCCGGAAAGAATAAATAAATCCGGCTCGCTGAGGCTCGCGCGGGGCCAGCAGTCCTGGGGTCAGCGGAACCAACATCGGCCTGGCTGAGTCGGCTCCGTTCAAACATGGCTCCTGTTTCCCGGAAATGGATCTTCCAGGTCATCCGGCAAATGCTCTGTTCGTGGAGAAGGGCAATGCTTTGCCAATTCGTGGCAAACGAAATACTTTTTCCCAAAGTCAAGAAAGATGATGGTCAGACCTGCTGTGTATTCCTAGTCGGCAAGGAACAACTTGCAAGCCGCTTTGCAGCAGACAATCTCCCTGCAAGGCCAAACATTTATGCTCGAAACTCATATAACCCAGCTAGGTAGGAACATGATGCTAAGCGTGCTCGCTTTGCGCTCGGTTTCGTGTCCGGTTGGTGCCCGGGTCCTGCCCGGGTTCGTGCCCTGTCTGCCGAGAGCTGTCCGGTTGGTGCCCGGGTCGTGCCCGGGTTCGTGCCCTGTCTGCCGAGAGCTTGGTTCGTGCTCGGTTCGTGCTGGGAGGCTCATGCTCAGGAGCCGCCAGCTTGGCCTTTGCCTTGGCGAATCGCCTGCCCACAGCAATAAACCCCCCCCCCCCTTCCGCAATATTTCCTGGGAAAAACATCTTGCGGATAGGGTACCACGAAAGCCCTGCAGGGTGCCACTTCTGGTTGCAAGCGCCAACCACTGGCCAAATAGCGGCAACAAGGCCCGTTGCAGACCAAAAGGGCGAGGGCATAGTCCGCGCCCACTTCTGAGCGACGCGGCGCTTTCACCTTTGGCTGTTGAACGTAGGGCTTGAAATCACGAAAAGGCATGCCAGCTTGAGCTGGCCCAAAACAAAAACCCTGACCTGACCCACCAACCAAATGCAAATAACAACCCATTGAAGGGTACTGTGATCAGCTCGCTACATGAATGAAAAGTTTTGCCAGGTCCAACCATGCATCAAAAGCTTCTGGCCGTAGGAACACAGAATATCAGCTGCATAAAGTTGCAAATCTATCACATCCTGTGACAAAATGACCTCATTGCCCTACACAAAACCGCATCTCTTCGGAAAGCTCTCTCGAGGCCGCCTCGCACATGGCTTTGAATTTGCATTGCCCGCGCTTACCTGCAGAACAACACATTTGCTGTGCGCAAAAAACAACTAGGATCTGCAATGCCGCGTACTACCAAAGGCAGAAATTTGCTCTGCTCCATCCGCCTGCTCTGGGTGAACAGCGATGAACCAATTGAGCGAGGCATATTCGCTGTGTGGCTTCCTGATTGAAGGCTTGCTCTCTCCGCACATGCACAACATGTTAAACAACTGAAACTATGGTGGCCCCCCAGCAACCAGCAAGTGGGTGGGCTTGTCTTTCGACCCCTGCCTTAAACCGGGGAAAAAACCGGTACACCCCATCCAATTTGTCCCAATCATAGGTGTCCTTTTGGAAAAAATAGATGGCCCTGGTATATGGAATAAACCCCATCTAAACCAGTGCCTTCTGTTTCCACACTAACGGATCAAAAGGACAGCAATTTGTCCCAATCGCTTTGAAGGGTCCCTTTCTCAAGCCAGCGGAAGGAATCCCTGCGCAAAGTCTCGCTTGCGCCTCTTCTTCAGCATCTTCTCATAGAACTCCCGTAAGAGCTGATCCAGAACCTGTCCAAAACTGCGCGTCAAACGACTAAGCCACCAAAAGCTTTAAACATCTGGCAATCAACCTACACACAAATTCGGGTTTCGCAATGGCGCAATGCTCCGGCCAACCCACATGTTTCAACCGATGTTTGGCGAAACCCGGTGATTCCTTCCAACAAACCACCTAGGTCTGCCATTAGAGAGGTTAGAATAAGGGTACCAACTTTTTCTGCAGTCTATTTTAGTAGGGGAACCCTCCCCCCCAAAAAAGAAACTGTGAGAAAGGGAACCTAATTAGCTGGCGGACCTACAGAGATTCGCTCCAGGATCCGGTCGAACTCCATCCGATCCGGCGATCCGGCGCCTTGAAATGCTCCTGTTCTTGGCCTTCCAGCACCACGCGGATCGGCGCCTTGCAGGTCTGCTTTGCCGCCTGAAGCGATGCGGCACCGACTCCTACGCGCAATAGCGCCTACCGACCCAACCGGGACGGGCATGGAAATGCCATGACCCCTAGAAAAAGGGGTCATAACCCCTGAATTTTGGGTAGTGACCCCATTTCTAAAGGGTCATGGAGACTCCAGGGGCGGACTTTCTGGACATGTTGGTACCTCCGAAAGGTAAATGTTGTCCTGCGCGGCTCATGCCCCGACATGTTCCGACTGCCCGCCGTTGCCCTCTTGTGCCTCGTACGCCCCACATTGACAGTTGCTTTCCAAGCACATCGTGTGGACATATTGCCACAGATGACGGAATTGGCATGGCGACACGTAGCAACATCGCTGCCATGCATCACAGCACATGAACTTTCATGATTGCGCTGCGCCCCTGGTGTGTGCATGAGTCTTCATCATGACGTGATCTCTATATCTACATAGACCTGCATTATACATATATATATATATATGTATACATATATATATACATACACACGCATGGCTTTCTGCAGTTATCATGTATCCCAGCGTCTCCCCTGCTCTTCCGCACCACGCTGCACCACTTCAAGGGAGACCTTTTTGAATGTGCACGAATCCCTGTCTCGCGTGCAACACGTTGAAATCAGTCGCCCGCTGCGGATCGACTGAGGCGCCAGCCCACTGAACTGCGTTCTCGTGGGACTTTGGCAGGTCGCAAAGGATGATCTGAGCTCGGCAGTTTTCACCCGACTCCGGAGTCGGGCGGAGGTACCTCGAAGATCTGGAAGAAAGGAACTGGCGGGAGGGGATGGCGGGAGGGCGCCATTTGCGATTTGGGCACATGACTAAACCATGGTTTTTGACTCGGGCGCAGTGCCTTTGCTATTCACTTTGCTCTTGATGCTCGCTCGTCACTTGGGTGCTTCAACTCATGTGCTGAAGGCTCACACGAGATGTGAGCAACACTCTCGATGTAACACCACTCTTCCCATGGTTTGGCTTTTGGGCCGTCGGGTTTACCTTCTAGCAGATTCTATAGTTCAAAATCCTGGAGCTCTTTCGCAAACATGTAACACACGATCTTTGAGACGCGCCTTGTGTGTTGCCTAACATCTATGGACTTGGTTGAAGTTGGAAGGGGATCTGAACTTTTTTGCTTAAATCAGCTAAGTGGATTTGGATTTCAACCACTAAACCACAATAAACAAAAATGTAAAAAACAATTCCCAACAACAACTATGTAAAAAACCAACCTCTGGATGAGAGAGTTCCCCGTGAAGCCAATCGCTGAACGGGAAACCCTCCGCCGTCTCCGTGGGTAGACGCCCCGGGCAGCCCGCCCGTGAGACGCGAATCCAATCGTGCTGAGCACTGGGCGATCATCTCTGGCCATGAGTCCTCCTGCTGGCCTCGGATGGACTTCTTGGAAGCATGGCATATGTGTATCTATACTTCTCCCAAAAACAAAAAAAAACAAAACAAAAAAAACGTGGGGGCCCTGCCCACCTGGAAATGGCCATCCCTTGCAAACCACAGGAAAGTGAAAGCCACTACATAGGCAACCCACTACGGAGGCAGAGGAGACTGCCTGAGAACATCTAGAAGGCGGTTTGGATTTGCGCCTTTGCTGGATCTCACAAAAGCTATTCAGTAATACTTTAGTACTTTTTTGATATGCTGCAGGGTGGATCCACAAACGCCACATCCAGACCGTTCGTGCATGGAAACATGAGTTAACAATATTGCCAGCAGAAGCTAATGGATTACCCAAGTACAAAGCCGACAGGGCACATACCCTAGCAGTATTGTCCGCTGCTCAAACACACACACACACACGTATATATATATATATATATATACACATACATCCCAGTGATTGCATTCACCATGTTTGGAAGGAAACAAAGGGAACCACCGTTCAAAAACCGAAAATCACATGCCTAGATGGCCCACTTTAACTGGGATCCACTGCACATGCTGGACCCACTCACCCACCAACAGCAAATGGTGGACATGGGCCACTTGCGTCAACTTCTCATGTTGGCATCCGAAAGAATCTGGGGGACCCAACTAGTCAGTGCTAATCAAACGATCCCACATTTGAAGCAACACCCTCGAAAAGAGTACGGTCCTCCACATTCATCCAAAGTTAACATTCTCCCCAACCATAGGATGGAGAGGTACATCTGCTAGTTCTCATATATGGGTTTGTCTTTTTGGAGGTTACTCTTTTTGCGGTTTGAAGGGACACCAAACTAAAAAAAACCAACTATTTTATCCGTTCCCCTCAGAGACAAACCCAACAATGGTTGATCCGACCACTTCAGCAACGGAAGTTGGCCAACAGTTGGACCCTTTTGGAACCACCATGTCGTTGTCTCAGGCCACAAAGCAAAGCAACTCCTCCAGCAAGCTTCCCCCTTTTGCTTCTCTCATTCTCTCCGGGCGGCTCAAAATCCGCCGACATTGTTCGGCGTGTCGGATACTTACTAGAGGATAGAGGATAACCCCCCCCGCCCGACGTCAAATACGTAGGTTTTTTTTTTTTTGGGGGGGGGGGGGCGAAGGGGGGGGGGCGGGGGGGGGTCCCCCACGTACCGCGCGGCAATTTGATGACATTCCACTAAACGTAGTCTTTGGGGAGCCGGTGTCGCAAAACAGGGGTCCCAGGCTCGATTCCACCTGCCGGCTTTTTTGCTGGCTTGGGCTTCCTGCATCCTGTTGCCGAAAATCTGGCAAAACTCTGTGTTTTTGGACATCCTCTTTGCGAAAACGCTGGAAAAACCGTGTTTTAGCGGGAAATACTGGGAAGTAAAGGGGAAGTGCAAGGATACATACATACATACATACATACATACATACATACATACATACATACATACATACATACATACATACATTACATACATACATACATACATACATACATACATACATACATACATACATACATACATACATACATTACATACATACATACATACATACATACATACATACATACATACATACATACATACATACATACATACATACATACATACATACATACATACATACATACATTAATACATACATACATACATACAATACAATACAATACAATACAATACAATACAATACAATACATACATATACATACATACATACATACACACACACAGACAAACAGACAAACAGACAAACAGACAAAACGACAAAACGACAAACAGACAAACAGACAAACAGACAAACAGACAAACAGACAAACAGACAAACAGACAAACAGACATACATACATACATACATTACATCCATCCATCCATCCATACATACATTACATAACTTTACATTCATTCATTCATTCATACATACATTACATCACATCACATCACAACACATCACATCACATACATACATACATACATACATACATACATACATACATACATACTTACATTACATACATACATACATACATACATACTTACATTACATTACATACATACATACATACATACATACATACATACATACATACATACATACATACATACATACATACATACATACATACATACATACATACATACATACATACATACATACATACATACATACATACATACATACATACATACATACATACATACATACATACATACATACATACATTACATACATACATACATACATACATGCATTACATTACATTACATTACATTACATACATACATTACATACATACATACATACATACATACATACATACATTACATACATACATACATACATACATACATACATACATACATACATACATACATACATACATACATACATACATACATACATACATACATACATACATTACATACATACATACATACATACATACATACATACATACATACATACATACATACATACATACATACATACATACATACATACATACATACATACATACATACATACATACATACATACATACATACATACATACATACATACATTACATACATACATACATACATACATACATACATACATACATACATACACATACATACATACATTACATACATACATACATACATACATACATACATACATTACATACATACATACATACATACATACATACATACATACATACATACATACATACATACATACATACATACATACATACATACATACATACATACATACATACATACATTACATACATACATACATACATACATACATACATACATACATACATACATACATACATACATACATACATACATACATACATACATACATACATACATACATACATACATACAGACATTACATACATACATACATACATACATACATACATACATACATACATACATACATACATACATACATACATACATACATACATACATACATACATACATTACATACATACATACATACATACATACATACATACATACATACATTACATACATACATACATACATACATACATACATACATACATACATTACATACATACATACATTACATTACATTACATTACATTACATTACATTACATTACATTACATTACATTACATACATACATACATACATTACATTACATACATTACATACATTACATTACATTACATTACATACATTACATTACATTACATTACATTACATTACATTACATACATACATACATACATACATACATACATACATACATACATACATACATACATACATACATACATACATACATACATACATACATACATACATACATACATTACATACATACATACATACATACATACATACATACATACATACATACATACATACATACATACATACATACATACATACATACATACATACATACATACATACATACATTACATACAACATACATACATTACATACATACATACATACATACATACATACATACATACATACACATACATACACATTACATACATACATACATACATACATACATACATACATACATACATACATACATACATACATACATACATACATACATACATACATACATACATACATACATACATACACACACATTACATACATACATACATACATACATACATACATACATACATACATACATACATACATACATACATACATACATACATACATTACATACATACATACATACATACATACATACATACATACATACATACATACATACATACATACATACATACATACATACATACATACATAACATACATACATACATACATACATACATACATACATACATACATACATACATACATACATACATACATACATACATACATACATACATACATACATACATACATACATACATACATACATACATACATACATACATACATACATTACATACATACATTACATACATACATACATACATTACATACATACATACAGACATACATACATACATTACATACATACATACATACATACATACATACATACATACATACATACATACATACATACATACATACATACATACATACATACATACATTACATACATACATACATACATACATACATACATACATACATACATACATACATACATACATACATACATACATACATACATACATACATACATACATACATACATACATAGTACATACATACATACATACATACATACATACATACATACATACATACATACATACATACATACATACATACATACATACATACATACATACATACATACATACTGCAGATCTTGGCATTCTCATGCATGATTTTGTCATTGCAGCCATAGGCATTAGGCTTTGGTAAGTGAGCTATTTTTGCTTGAGGTTGCATGAGTGGACATGTCTTGCGAGTTGACATGTCCACCTTGAGGAAGTTGGAGTGGCGTGCCTATTTTGGCTCAAGCCACATGCGCACGGTGAATGAGTGCGCTGCCTGTGAAAACAACGAGCCGCTTCGCGGGTGTGCCAGAGAGTCGGGACACGGGTGAGACGTGGATTCTGGGTTAGTCCTTGGTTAGGATTAACGCCTCTCACAGTTGGGGGCTGTTCTGGGAAATCTGAACTCCCTGACCCTTGTAAGCACACCGCGGTAAAAGGCTTGTGTGGGCAGCCTCTACTGAAGGATGAGCCAGGAAGTTTCAGGCGAAGAACTTGGTGTCACTCTGCTTGACTGCATCAGAGATGGAAGGGTACCAAGGCCTGAGGAAATGAGCTTCCCGGCTTGGCAGCGCTGGAGGAAGCGTGAAGGTCGTCGGCCGACCCGCCGGCAGGATGGCCGCGGAATGTCTACGGTCGAAGAAGTAGCTCTTTGGAGAGCCGTGACGGCGGAGCTATATGGGGAAGACCGAATTGAGGACCTTGAAGAAGAAGAAGAACAAGATGAAG